CACAGGCTGGCACTGAAAACAGTGTCTGATGCATAAGCTACTTAATTCTTACCCCCTACTTCTCAGAACATTGAGATATGCTAGTCTTGGCATTCATGGGCATGACATTCAGCAGAGGAAATACCTGTGTATTATTTTTTCTCAATTTCTCAGAATCTGGATAACTGTGGTGGTTACAGAGTACCTTTAGGTGTTAGAGAACACCATTATTGAGATGATTTGCACTTGAAATGCTACTTGTAGCTGGGCAGGGAGAAAGGATGCTCTGGTTTCAACATACCTCAGTATATTGAGTATAGTACACCTTGAGCTGACCATGGTTTGCAGGCTTGGAAGATGTAGATAACAGCTTAGTGAGAGGAGTTGCAGATATCTAAGTGTCCAAATTCCAAGTCTTGTCAACTTTAACATCCAGTGGTTACAATGACTTAAAGGACTAGAGGTAAAAAACCCAACTCTCTATATCTTCAACCCCTTCTTGTGACTCCTTGCAGCAAATTTGTCAGCAGTGCTATCATTTTTTTCTTCTCCCTTTATGTCACTGCAGCTTAAAAATATTCCTTGATTTCTGGCACTAGATGCAGACTCATTAATTTGTGTGGCCAACCACAAATAAGCCGTGTTGTGCCAGTTGGCCTTGGGGCCAAGGAATAGTTCCTCACCCTTTCTTTTTATCTGTACAGGCATAGAGGTCTCTGATAAAGTCATGAGAACACGACTTTGTAATTTTTATTTTAAGGCAGCATCCTACTTGGTTGATAATGGGACTTCTAGAAGCTCCACTGCACAGAGACAGAAATTAAAACTTCTGGAGAACTGTTTCCAAAGAGCCATTGGTTGTTGGTGTCCTTTTCCTGTGCACTGAGGAGGACAAGGCATCATTTCCGTAGCTTGGCCTTACTGTCAGTCACCAAATGACTGAGATCCTGTACAAGCACATATCTGGAAAACCCTATGTTCCACCTGCTGACACAAGTGATACCTGCTTTGTGGAAGTTTATCTGTTTAAGATTCCTTCACCAATGCTGAAACAAGCCATAGACTACCCAGAGTTATCAGTGCTTTCAGAAGATCCCAGAAGATCATGATGGGAAAAAAGGGGACATTAAACTGACAAAAAAATCCCCCTTTGGGTCTTTAAGCCAATGGTTCACATCTGCATCTTGTATGTTATAGCTGGAGAACTTAAAGCTTACAAACAACTTCAGAAATTCAATGAATTCTGTCTAAGTTTTCCCAGGTAAATCTTCATAATTTATTAGTGACATAAAATACTAGAGGATGAGGTCCTAAAAAGGAATTATGTGGTGTGATAAAGCTACAGTACAGCCAAGGGATTTTGGTTAAGTTATTTTATCCAAATGACTGATACCTACTGCTAGGAAGATTGTCTAGGGTAAAATAAAGCCCAGCCACTGTCCTGCAGTAGGAAGTATAAAAGAGAGAAATGTTGTCTGAAGGCTTCAGTTAAAAATTTAAAATGTCAAATGATGCATGAAAGCAGGAGGCTTGTTACAGGGGAAAAAAAAAAAGTTGCAGAAATTATTCATAATGATCTAATTTTCTTTGAATTAGTTGTAGCAAGCTTGCCAAAGGAACAACCAGAGGAAATACAAAGTAATGTCTCATTTGTTATCTTGCGACTAATAGAAGAAAAAGAAGATTCTTGGAAAATGTGATGTAAAAAGTCACAATTAAGGTTAACAAGGAGAAGAAATTCCCAGCTGTTATAATGGATTATGATTAACACCTGCCATGCAGTATTGCTGCCTCAGAGGATTGGGGCGGTCCATGTTCTAACTGAATAAACTGACCTGAATGTGTTGAGACTGACCAAAAGCATGGACTGACTTCTCAGTGCTCCAGTGAAAAGGGGAGATTCTATCATTCATGAGAAATATTAGAATTTTTTTTCCTTTTAGAGAGAAAATTTTGGCTCATTGGGAAACTAATGGCTCAAAGACCCCCCAAGCTGGGATTACTGGTATGTTCTGTATTACTGCAAGACTATAGATTTCGAGGCAACTGAAGGAAGTATGTGAGTCTTAGAAAAGCTGGGAAAGGTAACTTTTAAGTGGAATGGTTTCTCAGCTTTACCTGTGGCACAGAGAGCACACTGCTGCAATTAATGTTATCATTGTTTGTGCCATGTTCTAATGACATGAGTATTTTAAATTTCTCTTTGATTGTCTTTTGTCGTTTTGATGAGGTCTGTTATGTGTAGTAGAACAGCCATTAAGGCTTTTTAATGGTCACTGACATGCAATACTTCACTTTGAAAAGCCCAGTACAGTTGCTTCCTGAAAGGCACTAAATAAACAAAGCTGCAAACTGATGGCTTCTATTCATCTCACAGTGAAATACCGTACTTGGGTCTGATGAAGTTTCCTTCAGCAATACTGTCACTGTATTTTAAAATTTGATTTTGAGAAAGCATCTTGACATATAAAAAGCTAGTTGCAGTTCTTTGTTTTCCTTAACTAAAACTTGTGAAAAAAAGGGCATTAGAAACTGTTCTGTGTATGGTGAAGTGGAAAGCCCTGAGGAATACTGAGTGTCACTAGGAAAAGAAGAAAAGGGGCAAAGTTTGTACGACTGAGGACTTTATGGAATTACAGTCTGGAGGTGAAACCACGCTGTTGTTTTTTCTTGCCTAGGGAATTCAAATACAGTGAGAGACCAGCTGTGTTTCAAGATAAATCTTTAGTAAATTATTAGGTTTAGAAATCTGAAGGAACTGTGGGGACATCCCAGTAGAGCATAAAGCCATTTTTGTTCCCTATGAAAATCAGATTTTGAAGGAATAGGATGAAAGATTCAATCCTTTTCTTAGGTGACATAGCATTAGAGTCAGAGTTAGTAGGAACTCTGCCATGATCCGTTCCTGTTGGACATAGGTTTTTACAAAGGCACTCTAATAATTTCTTGAGGATGAAGGCATTTACCTCAATTCTTTTATTCTGGTCATGAGAACATTTTTTAAAGGTTATGTCTCACACTTTAGATAACTCCTGATATTTCTTCATCTGCCTTCCTCCCTGTTCACCATCTGCCTGAGATTTTACCAAAGTCAGTCACCATTCACCTCTGAAAAATCTGATTCAGACTCACAAGGAAGAGAACCAGTATAAGATATTCGTTTGTATGTTAAAGTTAAAATAAACTTCTTTAGCCTTTGGTATTTCCCAAGAAATTTCCAAGAAAACTGCCTGATTTCTGTTTATGTTGTAATTTCATTCTTTTTTTCCTCCTATATATTTTAAACTGTTAGAGATAGTGAGCTGCTTATGCCACAGATAAGTCAGTCATTAAAACAGATGTTTCATTCTTTATTGTATTGCCCCATCTCCTCTCCTATTTTTACCAAGCTGGTTGGCTTGACTTGACCAAGAAAATACCACATATAGTCATGTTAAAGAGGGTGAGGTTTTGAAAAATATTTCTTTTTGTCTTTATTTAAGGTTTTGATTATTGGCTTAATTAGGCTATTTGATAAGGAGAGGTGAGTTCTCCAAATTTACATGTTTTGAAAGAAAACAGTTGGAAGGAAACAGTTTCAAGATGCTGATTTGAATTTATTATTGCAAAATACATAACTTGCTCATTTTTGGCCTTCTTTTCCTCCTTCCATGTGTGTGAGTAAAATTCCACAGAGTTCATAGTGGCAAAGTTTGTTTCTACTCTGCCTCTAGAGAAGGTAGAACTCTGTACACACTGCAGAAGAATCCTATTTTAAGCATGGCTTGGTGTCATGTTGATTAGTCTCCTGATGCTGTACAGAAATTCCAGTATGTGATGCCGTTTCTATTGCTAGCAAGGTGTACCTTAATATGTATAAGCTGCAAGTGAAGGACACTTTGGATGAAAACTAATGAAATTTGTGTTTCTTGCTTTGATTTCATCCATTCATTCTGAGCAACAAATTCGTTCTCACATGCTTAATCCTCCTGCCAATTTACCTTGGCTCAGAGACTCAGGATGGGAATTTCCAAAGTCTTCTGAAAGCTGCCTTTGGGGCCTGTTTAGGTGAAGACATGAATGATTTGACTGCAATTCTGGGAAGTACTCTTTGCAATTTTACTGTTCAACTTCAGAATTCCAGACAAATCTCCTTTTTTTTTTATTGAGTTGAATTCTGCTACTCAGAAAGAAGTGATGCAATGGGTTCACAGTGAGTTGGAATAATTTTTTTTCACTGATATCATTTAAGGTGACTTTCACCTATTTTCCATTCTCCTGTTTGCTCTTGTTCCTGTAGTGGATGTTTCATTTTTCCCATCTTTCCAATACTACAGGGAAGAGATTGGCAGCTCAGTCACCTTTGAGTATAACTGTGATGAAAGCAAATCTTATGATATTGGAATTGTTAATAATTACAGGTAGGCTAATCTTAGGTTGCTTTATGATCATATTGTTCCTCCATATTTGTTCCATATTATTCCTATGAGAAATGCAACAAAATATTAATAGCTTCATTTTGTTGTGGTGCTGCCCACAGTAAGCTGGGAAAGGATTTATGTCAGAGAAGGAGGTTCACTAGGATGACAGAGCACTTAGTTTGGGTTTAGTGGGCAGTAGAAGCACAATAACTGTGATGCAGCTGCCTAAACAAATGAGTTGACTAACAATTGTACACGTAATTTACAGACTTGGAACAGGTAGTGATGTGATTATCTAGTGCTGTGTGTCTTAAGAGAGGTAATTTGCAGCATGCTTTTGCCCTAGGCAGGGTACATGAAGGTCATAACCTACTGGGCAGTAATTTTCTTTGTTAATGCAAATGTCCTTTACCTTGCTTTATAAAATAGGTGATACTTCTGGAAACATTCACTAATCCTCTGGTGTGATGGGAGGTAATATTGTTGTTCCAGTGTCCCTATGATCTGCTGCACAGGCATGTCTAGTGTTCCTACCTAGAGGCAGAAGTACTGAAAAACAGAACAGATCTTTGGCATGTGCATGTGCATGTGACATTAGGTAAGAGAAAATCATATTCAATGCTTAATATTGTTTTAAGGAAAACTTCAAGAGGTAGGACCAGTTTACTTCATCCAAGCTATGTAATAAACACTTCTTTTGTTGATGTTTTGTGGCGGTAAATACTTTATTTCTTCTGTGATACCTCTATGGGTGATTAATCTTTATATCAATGTGCTTATGAATTTACAGATCCGTTTGTCTGTAAGTCCCCTGGAAGATGACAACCCGTGTGCTCACATTTATGTTCTTTCTCTTGCAGTTTACTGGAGATTCATCTGCCCAGAGTGCTAAAGATTGACTGTTGGGAGTAACCTAACAATAAGAGAGTACCAGGCAGTGTATTTGATGAGATTGAGACTTTCTTCCTGGTAAGTGGACAGCTGAATGGCTCGGCCATTTATCAAATGAAGACAGAGAAATGGAGGTGCCTGGGGGAAAGAATTACTTATTATGGATAGCAGTTGGTAAGACAGGGATATGAATCATGAAGAAAGCAGTTAGTTTAGAAAGAGCTGAAAGAAGGCTCTGCAACATTTCAGAAGCACCAGAGGACAGGTGACTGCCTTGAATCTTAGAAATACAGTTATCGTGATTTCCAACTGGTCAAAAGTGATTCCTGTCTTCAAAGTTCTTTCCCACAAGAAGATCAAAGCTACAAACTCTGCTACAATAGGAAAGATTTCTACCACCTAGAATTTAGTATTTTTTTTAAAGTATGTAAGACCCTTGGTCAGCTCCATGATTTAGAGAGTGGAATTAACACTGTTTTGGTTGAAATTTAGATTGAAATCTTTGGTATTTGCTAAAGGAACTGTAGTCATTACCATAATGACCCCAGTAGTGTCAGTGTCAGAGGTAATAAATGAAGTAAAAAAACATGTTGTCCTTGGACAGAGGAACCAAGCACCAGCTTTAGCTTCTGTAAGAAGACTGAAGAAAATTTTTAATACCCTTATACTACCATTGTACAAAAGGGAGAAAAGGCAAGGAAGAAATAAATATTCTAATTTTTGACTTTGAATTCTTTGGTAGAACAAGTAACTGGGTTTACCTGAAAACCACAGTAGAAATAAATATATTAAGAGATAGCCATGAGTATTGTAAATTATGTTCTTTTTCCTGTTTATTGTTGGTGATAATCTAATTTCTCTGAGAATGTTCATGGAAGAATCTTGTTTCCCAACTTGTGTCTTTTGGTCAGTGTTTGCAGTCCCTCTGTATAACCTTTTCAAAACTCTGTATAAATTCTGTAAAACTTTTTTCTTCATATTCTTCACATTCTTTGCATTTTGCCGATGTTGTGGAATTCAACTGAAAGACAAAATGCAATAGTAAAGCAGGATACTGATCTATTGGTTCTGATAGAGAATTAAGTTGTTTGTCCTGTTTGTATGGATAATTCCAATGCAGATAGTGGCTACAGAAAACATTGGTGGTACTTATGGTCTGTGCAGTTCCTGGCTTGCTTTCTGAATAGGATCAGCTTTCAAAGATACATCCCTTCAGTGAGAGATGCAAATGGTCCCTTTGAAAATTAGGACACTTCTCTACCTGTGTTTAACCATACCTGACTTTAGGAACTGAAGTTACAAACTGTTAATTATACATTCAGACGTCCTGACATGTTTATGCGTGCACAAAAGTATTTGCTTTGATGGGAATCCTGAAAGTTTTTTTCTGAAAAACCACTGAACTCAGCTTTTTCATTGTTACCTATACAGGCTGCTGGATCTCGTTTGTTTTCATCTGCACCATCTCACTTTTTATAAAACAGAAGAGGTATTTCTGCTACTGAGGAAACATTTTTCATTTACCTTTTTCCCACAGACTCTTGGTGCTACTTACCTTTTTATTTTCTAAGCTTGCATTTCCATTTTTCCATATGTTCACTACATCCTGTGTTTCACTACAATTTTTGATACGACATTCTTGAATAATCACTTCTGTCTCTAAGAAAAAGCATCTCATTACAGGTTCTTGGCATTCTTCCTGAAAAAAAAAAAAAGCAGTTGTAATAGTTTTATGAATAAAAAGGAATAAATGAATGTAGGACATAATTTATGATATAATTTATGATATAAGTAAGATACCATTTAAGATACAATCAGCCTGGAAGTGGCTGAGTTTTACTTACTAGACATCTTTTCTTATTATTCAAATACTTTTAAATATCAGCAGAGATGGGCTGTGAGACCTAAACACAAAAAGGCCAGCCAGTTTGCATAGATTAGTGAAATGTAGTGTTTTAGTGAATGATATAGGAAAATAATTAATTAGGATAGAAATTTGGGACATAATTAAACATAGTGGAATTAAATTAGTATTATTCTTAAAAATTTTAACACTTTCATTCAGAGATCTGAATTCAGAATGGGTAGGGGAGAAGAGGAACCAGATATTACCTGTATTTAACGAATTAAAGAAAAAGAGGCAGAGGTACTAATTTCTCCATCAAATCAACAATAAAGCCAAAAATAAGTCCCAGGTTGTTCGTCTGACTTCCATATCACACTGTCCCAGTGTAAGAAAATCTTCCTGACATTACTAGGTATTAAATCAGCCATTTTAATGAATTAACCTCTCTAGCTTGCTTCAGTTAAGAGAATGTGTGTGCAGGTGTGGACATGTGTGTTTTGTGAGCTTCAGGTTCTGTGCTTTCTTGGGCTTGCCAGTTCCACTGAAGACATCGGTATTGCTGCACTCTGCAAGCACTCTGACACTGTTCTGTGCTGAGGTAGTCAGTCCACCATTTCTAGGATATCCTCCCTCATTATGGAAAAAAAAATCTTGTCTAGGATATCTGGATTGTCTGTGTTTGTGACAGTCTGCGTGTGAATGTTTATGTTGTCAGGCAAGCAATGTCTCAGGAGCAGGCTACTACCACAGCAATGAATCCAGACAATTCCTCCAGGGCTATGCCAAAGGTGACTGCTAGGAGTGGAGGAGTGGTTGGCTTCATTTTCTTGGGATTCATGTGTCCCATGGAGCACAGACTGAACTCCACAGCAATAGATTATGAAAAACTCTCTTCAGCTATGAATTTATGGATACTGCACTTTTTTGGGTCATTTTTTCCCCTTCCTTTAAATTGCAAATGAATACCAATATTATTTTAGCAATGATTGCTTGGAGAAAATAGTTTTGGATCAGAGAATCACTGAACGATATGGGGCGGAAGAGACCTTAAAGATGCTCTAGTTCCAACCCCACTGCTATGCACAGAGATTCCTTCTTGTGGACTAGGTTTGTCAAAGACCCATCCAACATGGCCTTTCAATTATTTAATTTTAATAGCAGGTGATTCAATAAAAATAATCAATACCTGCTTACATAATTTATCATAAGTCATTTAATTATCAGAACTGTTTATTCCAAGGTGAATTATTTGATTTTAGAAACTTTTGTCAAATTAGACCAAGACTGCTTTAGGAGAAAGTTGCTAGCAAAGAAATGGAGCCACCATATTAGGCCAGTTGTGATCAAATTCAAAGTTTACTTACATCCTCATCTGTGTTTGCAGTATATAAACTGACATCAATGTCCTAAAAGAAAACAAGAGTTGGAATTAGGAGCATTAGCTAACAGATTTAGAAATAATAAAGCTAACTCTTCAATAGATGGATTAGCTACCAAGTTCAAAGGCCAAATCTAGCCAGGTCTTAAAGTCAGCCAGTAACCTGCAGAATGGGCTTCACTGTGAGGGAGACTCTCAGAACAGAGTCCCACAATACTTTGTCTGAAGGGGCTAACTCTCAAGCCCACTGTCCCTTTTCTTAGGAAAAGTGCTGGAGAAAATGATATTTAATTCTAGAGTCTGCAGTATTTGGTGAATTCCAATTCCTTTTACCCCTCTGTTTCCACCCATGAAACAGCATTATACAAACACCATCCCTCTCCCTGCTTCCTCTCGCTGACTCTTCCTAGCTGAGTACAGTGCTACATATTTAATTGTCTTCACCTATGATTATATGAAATGCTGACCTTTTTATGAACTTACTTTGGATGTCTTGATCTTCTCCAAGTCTTTCAGAACTTCTGCCCACTTGCAATGACCTGCTTCTGTCTTTGGTACATAAGCACTAGAACAGAAGAAGAAGTGATCATTAGGCTAAACAGCAGGTACATACAAGTTTTATGCTGAAAAAAAAGAGTCAGAAATTATAAGATACTATAGACACATTGTTTACATGTATATATATATATATATATGATAAATGTGTGGGGCACGCATATTTGACAAATCATGAAATCATATAGATACATAAAACTGTCACACACTGTATAAAGAGTCAATTTGGTTTTTTTTAAAGGCCAGACTTATAGAACTTAATGCAAGAGAAAGGTTCAATTACTTAACGTAACATACCTAAAATTCTTTTAAAGTATACAAATAGAATTCCAAATCCACTCTCTAAAGTAACTGGAGACAAGTAACAGCTGTAATAGTAAAAATATGCATATACTCTCTAATTAACATTGACTTTGTAGTTACCATAAGATGATTAGTCCCATCCCATTCTTTAAAAGGCAAAAGAAATGGCTGTTCAGAAGAAGACACAGCTGATACTGCAGACAAATACTTTTCGGGTGTATTTTCTGAAAGACACAACCAAGGTGATACCTTGTCACAATCTGATTGCACAGAATTTTGCTGTGGTACTGGCTTAATTAACCAATTTGCCAAGACATCCAATCAAGGCAGGACTACCTGTTGCGTGTAGCTGGAAAGACCAACTGATTTGTATCTTGCAGAAGTATATAATCACTTTACAGAACAGTTGGTAGGAAATCAGATGCTGAAGGCACACTGTGAACACCTGAACTCATCCTGGGCTCCCCATTTATTTATCTGTTCATATTGCAAGCTGCAATTTAACGCAGAGACAATATTAAAGAGCTTTTTTTTTTGTTTATGATCTTTCCCCTGGCTACCTTTTGTCACCCAAATTCAGTTAGTTACTACAACTAGAACATTAACTACAATATTGTGATTGCATATATATGAAACTCTGCATTGAATGTATCAGATGCTATAGTTATGTGCATAAATGTTAAACGTAGTATTTAGAGTATATACTTCTTTACATAGTGTATGTCTGACTAATCATAGAATCACAAAATATTTTGAGTTAGAAGGGACCCATCAGCATCATCAAGTCTGGCTCCTGGCCCTGTGCAGAACACCCAAGAGCCACACCATGTGACTGAGAGTATTGCCCAAATGTTTCTTGAACTCTGTCAGGCTTGGTGCTGTGACCATTGCCCTGGAGAGCTTTTCCAGTCCTCTAGGTGAAAAACTTTTTCCTGATATCCAACCTAAACCTCCCCTGACTCAGCTTCATGTTGCTTCCTTGAGTCCTTTCTCTGGTCACAGAAGTGATCAGTGTCTGCCCCTCCTCTTCCTCTCATGAGCGAGTTGAAGATCACAATGAGGTCCCTCCCTCTTCTCCAGGCTGAACAGACCAAGTGACCTCAGCTGCTCCTCATACAGCTTCCCCTCAAGGCCCTTCACCATCCTTGTTGCCCTCCTTTGGACACTCTCTAATGGCTTAATATCTTTTTTATATTGTGGCACCCAAAACTGCCACAATATTCAAGGTGAGGCCATCCCAGTGCAGGGACAGTCCCCTCCCTGACAGGCTGGTGATGCTTTGCCTGATGTCCCCCAGGACATGGTTGGCCCTCCTGGCTGCCAGGGCACTGCTGACTCATATTCAACTTGCCATCAACCAGGACCCCCAGGTCCCTTTCTGTGGCACTGCTTTCCAGCCTCTCATTCCCCAGTCTGTCTGTACATCCAGGGTTGCCCCATCCCAGGTGCAGAATCCGGCACTTTCCCTTGTTGAACTTCATATGGTTGGTGATTGCCCAGTCCCCTAATTTATCAGGGTCTCTCTGCAGGGCCTCTGCCCTCAAGGGAGTCGACAGCTCCTCCCAGCTCAGTGTTGCTGGCAAACTTACTTAATATTCCTTTGAGTCCTGCACCCAGGTCATTAATGGATATGCTGAAGGGAACTGGGCTGAGGATGGAGCCCTGCGGAACCCCACTAGTGACAGGTCGCCAGTCTGATGTTACTCCTTTTAATGTAACTCTTTGTGCCCAGTCTGTGAGCCAGTTACTCACCCATTACACATGGTTAGCCAGCTGTGTGCTGGACATTTTGTCCAGAAGGATACTGTGCAAGACAGTATCAAAAACATTGCTGAAGTCTGAAAAGATCATATCTACTGGCTTTCCTAGATCAACTAGGTGGATTATCCTGTCATATAAGGAAATCAGGTATGATGAGCAGGACTTTCCCTTCATGAAGCCATGCTGACTGTGACTGATGACTGCATTGTCCTCCAGGTGTTTTTTAATACTCCCCAGAATAATCTTTTCCATGATTTTCCCAGACACTGAAGTGAGACTGACAGGCCTGTAGTTTCTGGGGTCCTTCTTCTTGCCTGTCTTGAAAATTGCCAGCTTCCAGTCAGCCAGGACCTCTCCGGATTCCCAAGACCACTTGAAAAATCAAGAGAGGCTTTGCAATGACATCAGTAGCTCTTTGAGGATTCTCAGATGAATCCTGTCTGGACATAGGTTTGTAGGGATCCCACTGGAGCAGTGGATCGCACACAGTTTCAGAGTCAGCTGGGAGCTGATCATTCTTGCAGTCGTGGTCCTCCAGCTCAGGGCACTGAGACCCCCTTGGTCTGTCATCCATACAGAGGCAAAGAAAGTGTTAAACACCTCTGCCTTGTCTCTGTCCCTGTTTGTGAGGGGACCATCCTCATCCTGCAATGGGCTGATGTTATTTCTATACTGCCATTAATATATTTGAAAAAACTTTTCTTATTGTCCCCCACATTTCTGGCAGCTTCAACTCCAGTTGAGCTTCGGCCAAACAAATTTTCTCCCTACAGTGGCAGCAACATCTCTGAATTATTCCCATGTCACCTAACCTGGCTTCCACTGGGCATATGCCTTCCTTTATCATCTTACTTCCACGAGAAGACCTCTGTTCAGCCAAGACAGCCTTCTACCTCATTTGCTTGACTTGTGACATTTGGGAATTGCCTGCTCCTGTGTCCTTAGGAGGTGATGTTTAAAAAGTGACCTGATGAACCCCAATACCTGCAAAAACATATTCCCAGGGTAATTTTCTACTGGGTAGTGATGCATTTAAGAGTTTTGTCAGGGGAGTCTGGCAACAGGAAACAAGGAGGAGTTGTGAGCCTGGTAACCTTTGTAACAAAGTCACAAGCCCTTTGATTTAAGCTGATACAGTTCCTTCAAAGACCTAGGTTAATTATCTGCAGCAGTACAGTGCTTTTGATCCAAGCTTGTATTTCTTATCATACGTGCAATACTTTTAATGTCATTAACAAATGATGTTTCTTTAGCAGTGATTTATTTACAAACTTGCAAGTAAATATTTAAAAATAGACCAGAGAACATAACAAAACAAGCGCTAGCACTGTGCAGTGGTAAAAATTTCCAAATGGGAGATCAATCCAAAAACTGTCAGGATTCCAGCTAACTTGCTGAAAGCCACCTTAATAAAGCAAAGCCAGGAGCATGATAGTTATATATGTCACAGGGGACTTCTGAAGAGTATTTGTAACAAATATTTGCTGCTCTCTTAAGTGGAGAATTCTTTAAATACTTTGCAATTATTTTGTTTCCAAACCCCAAAGATATAGCTGAAATAGCATAATAACCTAATCATACATAAATATCTACATCCTGTAACGGAAAGCAGTGTCAGACCCTTTTATCCCCTTTGTTTGTCCAAAATCTGTTAAATAAGAACTATGTAAATGAATGATTCTCTGATAATCTAAATTTCTGTCTGGACAGAGCAAATAGCATCTCATCTGTCTTCTGAGCAATTTCAGTATGGAGGGTGCTGTGTTATTAGCAGCCAAAGTAGGCCACGAAGCAAGGCTCGATCTGTCACTGTTTCCACAACAAAAAGAAATCGAAGATATGTAAGTATTAAACCCAAAATATTAAGTATATATACATAGGAATGCAATGGAAAAGACTGCTTGGCTCTAATCAAAAGAGCTAAACCACTTTGTTATAGTATGACAGTTAACATTTTCACAGTTAACATTGTTTGGTCTCAAATTCTCATGTTATTTCTGTTAGTTTTGGGGATTTCTTTGTTTGTTTTTGTTAAATATGCATACCAACTTCTTTGATTCAATATGTCAATCCCTAGAAAATATCCTATTTTTATTGGGAGTTTTGTTTGTTTTTTATTATTATTATTTCATTGAAGATCAAAAGTAGCCTTATGGGGAAATTCCAAGTAAATGTAAAGAAATTTTAAATCTGTTTGGTGGACACAGATGAAGAACACGTATTTTAATCTCATGTTTTATCAAAATTATTTAAAGTGCATTAGAAATATTTTACAATAGTTAAAAATTTTTGTCATTCCACAAGCCAGTTTTTATCAAATGAGATCAGGTGACGACAAATTAAAATATGAAAGACTTATGATGAGTCCATAAGCATGTACCAGCTTCCTGATTTATAATTAGTGTTATGGGGCCTTTTTAAAAAGGCGATTAGAGAGGAAGTTCCAATTTATGCTGGAGAACAAAGTGTTCAAGGTGAGGAAAATAATATATTATTATACCTACTGAATAATGGGCCAGAGTTATCATTAGTTTGTCATTTGTTTCCTATTTTTAATAATTGTTCGCTGTGATGACACTGGAACACTGTTCTTAATGATCAGTGTCTTTATCTGCATCTTTGGTTTTCTTAAATATGTGAGATAACTGTTTTACTGTAATAAAATAACAATTGCTAATGTAAAATAAGTACTTAGTTTTCAGAAGTAACAGAAAGCTTGTACTGATAGTAAAATATGTGAAAAATATACTACGTGCATACTCCAAAGGGTACTCCATTTGTTCATAGAGAAAGAGGTTCTTGATGTCAACTAGATCACCCAACACATTCTTTTCAATTCAGGGCCATTTTCCACTTGAATTTCTTAATTATTTCATCTGAATTATTATTCAACAGCAGAAGCACTGTTAGCTCATTTGGAAGCTTTGACAAATTATTCTCCTGCCTTGAACACACAGTGCAAAAATTTTCTTTGGACAGTGTCTGTTTTTAATGTCTCACACTGTTTAATCATTAACCAATTCCTCTCTGTCTTCATTATGTCTCTGATACCCTGTGACCGTTGGACAAGGGAGCAGCTCATATTTATGTAGGTAAATGGTTCTATTTGTAGCTTGTATCCTAATAAACTCCTACTTTCAGTTGAGGATTAAAGCCTTTGTAAGTGAATATATGCTTTCCAAAAATCAATGATATACACAATAAGCTTTGTAAAAGGAATGTCGTTTTTTTAATAATGAAATTTAAATTAAGCATTTTAAGAGCAGTTGCCACTGAGTGATATCTAAGATACAGCAGTACTGTTTTCTTTTTAAAGAAGCAAACTTATAAGATAATGACAAAAATTTTCTTTAACAAGTCTGAAACAGTCAATGATTTTGCTGGTTTGGCTGTCACAGAAACAATAATCTAAGTTAGTCAAAAGAAAATATTCATAACTCTTCACGGTATTTAAGCTACATATCAAGCTAAAGTTATATGGCTTTGCCTATATACTATATGTCTAAACTTCTTTATTAATATTTGCTTATAAATTTCTCAGTGAATCCTTGAGCTGTGATATTCATAAGCAAGCAAGTTTATTTCCTGAATGTGCAAGTTGGTATTCTTGGCAAAAGTCCACTATTATTTTTTTCTTATTTTTTTATTCTTTATTTATATCTTTATTCCTCATCCGCTTCATTGTTCTTGAAAACAAGTGACCAGAAGCATACAACATACTCAGATCTTACAAATCATTTAGAAACTAGTGATAATATTTTCAGCTTCTATTGGAAATAGGGAAATGCCTACTGCCAGTGTTTTCTTCATGATTGTATCACAGCAGTGGCTCATACTTCAATATGAATTTTATGCAAGAATTTTATGTCTTCTTCTTTCAGAATCCTGGAATGTCCTAAGAATTTTTCGCTGTTTGCAGAAAACTCTCACCCTCAAAAAAACACCCCCAAAACCCTGAAGTCTAAACTTCTTACTTTTTGGTTATGTTCAAATTTTCCCTAACTTCTTGACCTGTAGCACAAAGTTCTTTTTCTTGATCAGCCCTTTTTCCCTTTGCCTCTGGGCTTTCTGGCTAGAAATGATGCTGACAGAAGTCCCTAGTCCTCACATTCCTTGCTCCTGAGAGCAAATCACCCTGCTCAGACTGCTCTCTCTTGTAACAACCTGTTTTCCCATTTCTCATCTTCATTCTGTCACGCAATAGACTTCTTGTACATTATTTATCCTATTTGAGTCAGTCTCTTCTTCCACTCTCTTCTACAAATATGTGTCCTCAGCACTTTCTCTTTGGCTTCTTGAGCAACAAAGTACTGTAAATCTTCTTTTCTCTGTTACTGCAGCAAATGTCCCTCTAAAATCGTACTGTCACCTCCAGCTCTCTCAAGTCCTTGAACATTTTATTGAGCAACACCTCAGGAATAAAGTAGGCTTTTTAAAATTCATATTCAAGTACTGTCTACATCACACAGAGCTGAGTTTTACACTCTTCTATTTGCCTTGTTTCTGCAATTCTTCAGCGTCTCCTTTGCCACAATAATTATAGCCTCCATAGAGAACTCTGCCTCCTCCCCCAACAAAATCTCATCCTGTGACTCTTGTTCTGCTGTTCTCTGTTGGCTCCCCTGATTAAATGTTCTGTCCTCTTGTTTTAGTGCAATTCCCTTCAAGGGGACAAAGTGCCAAGTAGCTGCACAACTAGAGTGCTGCATCTATTTAGGGTTGGGTATTCTGCATGATATTGGAGCTCTTTCTCTGCACTCAGAAGCAAAGACAACACTTTTAATGTCAGAATCTATAAGACTGTGGAGAAAATCAGATGTTTTTCCCATTTGTAGCCTAGTCTTGTAACAAAAGAACTTCATCCTTTCTTTTAAAAACAGATTTTTTTTTCAGGAGAGAAGTCGTGGAAAGTAAAGATTTCATAAACTAATGGAAGTGACTAAAAGAGGAATGAAGCCCATAAAGAAAGCAGTACTTCCAAACTAGATAGATGTTTCCATATTAAGGCCTTAAATAAGTAATTTTGAAATCAAATTTTCATGGATCACAAGTAAGTTTTAGAGGAAAGACATATTCTTAGTGCCTTGTCATGGAGTAAATGCTGGAAAACACTGAAAGTCAAAGGAGCATACTCACTGAAGGATCTCTCTGCTCTGTCATTCCTAAGTTCCTCTAGTCTGTTTAAAGAAAACAACCAAAGGGAAAAAAAACCTGAATATAAATTAGTGTCAGAATGTAATTATTCACATCAGATAGAATTCAGAGAAAAAGAGAGAAAACCACATTAATGTACTCTGAGACAATAAGAGACTCTGTAGCAGGTACAGAGGTACAGCCCCTAAAGGTACCTAGGTACAGCCCTCTAGACACACTTTGAGAGTAATTTCATTTGCATATACAGAATTTTTTATATCAATAGAAAAAAGTATATAATAGTAATATTAACTTATGAAGGGATCTAGTACCAGGGCCTTAAATTATTTACCAATTTCTAGAGACTAGTCCTGTCTATCAAAGAAACATATTTTACATCTCTGGTAACTTATGAATACCATTTGATGCCACAACTATTAAAAACTTGTTTCTTTGCTATCATGGTGCCTGAATCCATTATGATTCCACAGCCATTGTAGTTCCTCTTCTCCCTCCCCACCAATCTTCGCATAGAAGCCCAGGAAATCAGCTCTCAAGCTCCACCAGTGTTACCAGCAGCCCTCCTCCCAAGGTTTAAAGGCAAAGAGTGGGCTTTCTGTCTAGCTTGTACTTACTGCTCCAGAAAGGAAGCCAGTGGAATTCCTAGGTGTTAAGCTGAATCACAGGGCTGAATGCTTGTCTGGATGAGAGCCAAACCACGCCTTAGGCTGTTATGTCTTCAAGCTTTTATTTCATAAAACTAGAGTGCTTTCTTAGAAGTTTTGTATTTAGATAGAGTTGGGCTGGCTAAAGATTTTTTGCAGCATTAAAACTGGGCATTCTTTACATATGATTCCTATTTGATTACTTCCCTCCCCCCAAGAAATACAGCTTTCCTTGTTTTTACTGTATGGTGGCGACTCTCTTGTGGAGTACTATCCTAAAAAGCTTATTCTGCTTGTATTAGAGTGGTGTTGACCTTCGAAAGTGTGTTCTCAGTAATCAGCATGGCAAGAAACTCTCTCAGTTTAATCACATATGTTCTTGGTTTGCTTAAGTTCTTGTTGGTTTGCCTTGACAGTTCTCCAGTAGGACTTCCTTCTCCTGTGTGCTCTTGCTAATTGGCATTTATGCCAGAGTAAAGTTTGCAATGCCTGTTTGAAAATTTTGCCAAAAGGTCACAGAGTCGTTGCTATTCCACTCAATACCTTAAACATCAGATTTTGAAATGTAAGAAGGTAAATATTTCCTTTGACCTTTTTTTGTGGTTTGTTTTTTTTTTTTTTCATGCATGTGTGTGTGGTTTGTGGGGTTTTTTTTGGTTTTGTTTGTTTCTTTTGGGGGTTTTTTTGTTTGGTTTTTTTTTTGCAAAGCGTGTTTGAGGCCCTGGGCCTTACGAAGATGTGTCCTACACTCTGCTCTAGACCTGAGAGGAAGTTTGTCCCTGGAGCAAAGAAAGATTTTATACCTTTCCAAAGAAACTTACAGTCACAGTAGCAGTGAAACCCAACAGAAGTGCTGCAATACTTAGGGTTAAATATTACTAGCTGAATATAAGTATGAACATTACTAATTAAGAACCTTCCTTTTAGTCTGTCTGCTTTTACTAATTTGAAAGTCACAGTCTCAGAGAAATAAAACAACACCCCATGACCACAGGCCTCTTTCATCAATAGCTCTCCTTGAAATACGGATGCCAGGTCCCTGTCTGTATGATTGAGAGACCAAGACATCAAACATGTTCCTTACCCCTTGCCTGTCAGTTCAGGATCTCTCTTAAGCAATATTTCCCAGATGGCAAAATCCAGCCAGGAAAGAAAGCTTCTTTCTCTTTACATCCTTCCACGTAATGTCAGTCATTTCAAAGTATCAGTCACTCCTTAAATTGTGAAAGATCGACTTAATGTTGTCCTAATGCAAGGATACATGATATTAATGCTAGATTAACTTGACAAACACTGTGACTGACATATAGAAGCCCTAAGTTTTGCTAGTGGCAAAATTAATTTAACTCAAATGCATAGTATTTGTAATACATTGGTAAAGAACAAGCATATAGCAAAAAACTCACTTGTAGGACACAGATGGTTAGATTTGACCATTTATCCCCAAGCAACCCCCCTCAGGATGCAACACGCAAAAATTAGTTAAAAGGCCTTTCAGAATAAACTCTACCAGATAAATAAGCAGTAGGAATAACAGGAGCTTCTAAATGTAAAGGACATTAATAAGACACACAAAATAGGGCCAGAATTAGTCAGTGCTGAAGTTTGTTCTACAAAATGTGGCCCAACCTATGTATATATATATGCTGTAAGGCACTCCCCATAAATATTATTTGTGGTATTTTTATCATAGCAACAAATATCCAACAGGGAACGAAAACACAATTTCTGTGCCTTTAGTAGTAGGACGTTAACATTTAAAACAGTATCAAACATGGAAACTTAAACTGCAAAATATTGTCATACTGATGCATAAAAGTTGGAAATTCTGAGATGACAGAAATAGTTGTCACAGGAGCAACTGCTGGACAAATAATATCTCAGCCTTAGGAAAATACTCAGCTCAAAGACTGGATGATACCATATGCTAATAGAGATCTGTAACACACTTTTAATGGAAGACTAAAAATAGACAGTGCAGTTCTCAAAATGGTAAAGTAAGGCAGTATTTTCAGAGCTTTTTTTAAAAAGGAAAATTATGATCCATGACCCTCTCTAACAACCATACGTTTACTGGAATTTACTGGACCCTGAAGTAAAGAGGCAGAATGCAGTCTGAAACACTGTAATTTTTCTCATGCTTTTAATCCTATTTAAAGAGCAGAATGAAATCCTAATATGTGTCAATTGCCATAGCTTTACTTAAACCAATAAACTTATTTTGATTTCCAAAATTGTTGAGAATTTGACCAAAATGTTAACCAGGGAAAACAAGATTTATTGACCGAGGAAAGCAGCACACAAACTGTTGTAAACAGACCAACAGGCAGAAAAAAAATAGAATCAGAATTCTAAGAAAGAAGAACAAAATATCTCTACTGTAGATTTATTTCATATAGGATATGTATAAAAAAGGCAAAAAACCTGGAAAATACATTATTTCTGCTTTATGTTACTCTAAATCACTTATAAATAATGATGCTGTAGGACTTAAAGCAGCAGCAACCGTTCTTAGTCTCTTGTCTTTGGATACAGGAGAAGTGATTACTGGAAAAGCTCTAGTGTGTGTGCTACAGAAACCTCCCCCTTTCATGTAAATTTTGAATGTGTTTTTGTGAAATGTAGCCATTGTGAGAGTGCACACTGAACCACTTCTTTTCTATATGTGAGCAAGTGCTAAGTGCAATACAGTATTTGTCATTCTTCGAGGTTTCTTCTATCTATTCATATGGATGATGATTTTCCTTCATTTCTTGGCAGCCAAACCCAAATTGAACAGAGGAATGGAAGAGGTTGTGTGTTTTTAAAATAACAAGAATTAATGCAGTCAAAAAAGCATAAGTGGTAGTCATAGCTCCTAACAGGGCAGCACAGCACTCATCCAGAAACCTTTACATTTTCTTTCAGAAGGGGTAAGATGACTCTATGAGTGAGAACATTCATTTAGATAAAAGTATTTTTAAAAAAGATTGAAAAAATACTTCACAGGGATGTTAAAAGTAGCTGTATCTTAAAATAATTGGCAGTACTGCAAAGAGTAAATGATTCCCTGGGCGCCTTTATATTATAAAGCTGTGTAGACCAATTTTATTGAAATGGAGGAAGCTCTTGGCTAAAAGAGTTAGCACTGTAGGATTGCTTACTTTATTTATTTAACACACAAGTTGTCGAGTCAATAGCAACTCACTGCATTGACAGTAATCAAGAGATTACAAATGATTCTGATATGCTCATACAAGAAGCAAGATAAATTGTAAGAGGTGAAACACGTATTGTAAGATTAATCTATGACCGCATTGCAAAAAGCCAATCAATTCTATTGAATGTGTATATATGTGTATAAATATCATTTACAGAATTATGATTAGTCTTGATAAGTAAAAGAAACGTTTGGGGAGATAATGTAGTCTGCCAGAAAAATTCATACTTCTTACAAATTGGGAAGTGCATATCTTCAAATCAACATCAATAATAAAAAAAAAAATGTAGTCTCATTTTCAAATCAGACTGCTTTCAGGAGCTCCCAGTGAAATAAATGCCTGATTCAGCTATAGGTAACTGCCACATCCATGTTGTGACAAGGCATAAGAGGATGATAAGATAAAGATCAGATTTCCCCATAGTATTTTTTTTCAAGCAAAATTTTTGTCACATTTGAATGGTAAAGCTAGAAATCAGTCTTGTCATTGTAAACAAGGGCACATACAGTGTTTTATCTGCCTCACAGCCATGGTCTTTCTTTAAGAATAAAAAAATTACTGATGATATTAAAAGCTGTATGTTATATTGTTTGCCTGAACACTAAGTTTGCTGAAGGCATACAATCCTACTGTCCTATATAAGCTTTTCCTTGCTCTCCCATTAGCTTACTCCTTGCCTGCCACCAGAGGAAGGTATCTATTTGTCCTGAATGGAAGCACAACGTTGCAAACTGCTTAACTGTGCTGTCTTTCAAAGAACAGCTGACAAAAACTGGTTTTGGCAGATATTCACCCAAATGCCATGTAAGGTCCACATGGTTGGTAAAGTTAGAAACAAATTTAGAAGTCACCAAAATTACATGGCCGTTCACATACAGCCTGGCACCTTTTGGTCTTAAAGTCAAAACAGGCATCATGCACATAGAGACACATGGCAGAACACAACTGAAATGAAAGCAGTAAGGAAAAGTCACAGGAACTATCATAGATGAATCCCAAGCTCCCACCTGGCTTCTGAAACTTCCCTGACTATACGTTTGAAGATGTTAAGACTTAGCTTTAAACTCAAGTCTTATGACTGCATTTTCTATGACATGCTACTAATGATAAATCCCTGGACATTTCAGTGTGGGACCTCGAGAGGCCAAGGAATCAGCTGCTCCTGTCCGTGAGAGCATTCCTCTTCAGGTTTGGTTGGTTTTCTTTTTAAACTGAACTGATAGCACTGGTTGCCTATTTCCACAAAGGGAACAAAACCAGAACAAAATGAGGTTGTGTTACACCTGTCTCAGGTCAGAGTGAACACACCAGCACACTCTTGCTACTTTCATAGACTACCCCAACTCTCAAACTAAAACCAGAGTTGGCACCAGTGCAAACACTGATTCTGAGGATTAAGGCAGCACAATAGGTTCTTTCACCACTGTTCCTTGTGCCCTGGATAATCAGCATAGCAGAGAGTAAGGCAGAAATGTGTACACTGAAGAATTTTACACTTTCCTACCCTAATGCTCTCATTTGCTTCATACTTGGACATTGAGCCTGCAAGTTGCTGTGTCTGCTCCTTTCCCACTGGGTTTTCTATGACATTACTGATCTTTATCTTAGACCTGTACAGGCAGCCAACAACAGTTTTACCTCAGAGTGGCCATGCAGCTAGCCATGTTGTTGACAACCTGGTTTATATTAAAGCTTCTTTACGCAGGTTCTGCGCACTCAAAGGCCTGCAGAAAATCCTGTTGGAAGAACATTGTCACGTACAATGACTTTTCACTAGCCTGTGCTGGTCTCCTGTAGTATACACCTTTTAGTTGTAGTTCTTACAGGTTAAAAACTAGGTATGTGTCCCTGACAGGAACTAGAAGAGCAGACAAAATTTAGGAATACCAGCACAGACTGCAAGCAAAAGTCCTCTAGGACCTCTGTGACCGGTTGTGAATGCCAAGGGAAGAGCTTATTGATTCCTCCCTCATATGTCCTTGTTTTCCAGCAAAGGATTCATACAAGGCTTGTCAGATTTGGGGCTAGTGTTTTCAAGTTTAGAACTTCTTTATCCTCTCTTCCCTCGCTGTTTATCAGCATAGATAAATATTTGCTTTTTAATCAATTTTTTAGAATTTTATGTAAAAATTTCTTCTATGTAAATACATTTCAATTTTTGACAGGCACTGTTGAGTTCTAAATGTAAAATATGACAGAAAGTAATTTCAAAATGGAAAATATTACATTAATTAGGCCTCTTCATAATGTAATTTTCTGAAGAGCACTGCTTTTACAAGCCTGTATAACCTAAGGGAACATACCTTTCTTTTTTTAGGTCAGCTTGAGTTTTCTAAAAGCCACAATGTCACTGTCTTGAATACACATATGTGTTATTTTCAGACATTACAATGTAGCAAATGCTGGCATTTACCCTTTTCATGAAAAAAAGTCTTTTATGTCTTTCTGGTTTTGATCTATTTATTTTTGTTTCAGTTCACCAGGCACTGGGAGAACATTTTGATCATTTGCAATAGCTATTTCAAAACTGAGCCAGCTAGCTGAGAAAAAGAAAACAAACTTTCTTCTCTCTTACTTGTAAACTATGAATTAAAAAAAGCATGGAAGAGCTCTGTCATTTACTAGTTCTAAATGCCTGGAACAACGTAACATACTTTCAAAATTCCTTTTTAGACCAAAGCAGGAATGTATGGAATTCTTCAGAGCACATAGGAAAATTGCACCCCATAGACCCCAGTTTGTGATCAGCTGAAGGGAAGAAAAATACCTGTTAATTCTATTGGTTTCAGTAAGAGTGAGGCATTTCTACTACTCAAATGCCTAGCATATTTTTCCCAAGGATGCTCCTTCAGAAAATCTAGGGGATACTGAGCAAAAAGAATTACCTATTACTTTTAGAATGCTCCTTTTTTTCTTCTGTGTCAGAAATAGTTTAGCTAGTCATATTTAACTCACACAAAACAAGATTCAAATATTCTTTGATCATGGAACTTCTGTTTATCTTGCTGAGAGTGGTAGTCAAATTATCTATTAGTTTCTTGTTAAAAATTGTCACATGTGCATAGCACATAAATTGCATTATTGTCATTATAAGTCATTCATCTTTAGTTGGATGAAAACTACTAGAAAACTACTTTGTCCTCGCTATGACCTGTGTATCCTGAAATTGCACACAGTTTAAAATGAAATCTGAAATATTCATATATCATTTAAATTATGCAAAATAATCTACAGGCAACCATAAAATCTTATGAATCTGAGAGATAGTTATATGAGGGCAGGAGACGAGTGGAGGTTTTGTCCTTAAAAAAAAAGAAAAAAAGAAAAAAGGAAAGACTAAAAAAAAAGAAGGAATTATTTCAAAAGCAGAACATGAGAAAAGTTAAATTTAAATGCTAGAAATGAGAGCTAGACTTTGTGTGTTCTGATTGCCTAGAAAGAATGCAAATGGTAAGAGCAAGTCCCTATAACAGAATTTTCAACTGGGTTTTTGCCCATGCTCCTGAATGCCAGGGTATATTTTCAGGTAAACAACCATCCTTCTACTTAGAAGTTAAATTAGTTTCTCCTCTGGGCTCACACAGTGTAATTGTTTTTGAGAGACTGGCTACTAAACCAAATACTTTGCATTTAGAATTTCAGTGACACCCAAGCCAGGTTTCCATGGTCTTGAGACAGTGCATTGGTTGATTGAGCAGCATCATATTATTAATGTCACAGACTAGAAGAGGCTTCTGGGAGTACCATTCCCCTTTCTAAAACAAAACAAAACGTCTTTTTTTTTTTTTTTAAAGACCTTTGCCTAGTCCCTAGACTTCTAGAGAAGAGTCTTCAACATTCTGAGGGAGCTATTTGCCTCATAGTACATATGCAACTGCATATGATAGCTTAATCTCTTGTAGTACCATCATGTGGACTCTTCTTAAAATGGAAAAGGATATGAAAAAGAAGGAAGACTTTCAATGACATCTATGGTCTTTTGCCTCTGAGAGGGGAGCTGCTGGAGTTCAGCCTTGCTGCTGGTTGAATTAATTGTTTTCTTCAGACTAAACAAAAATTTAGTTCTAATTTATTAAGTACTTTGAGGATTTTTTTTTAAAGACTGGTAGCTCAAATGGCCAATCTCAGAATAAAATGGCCTCATACTCTTTTAGCAACAACTAAAACCCAACATTATTCTCATCCTAAGTCCAAAACACAGCAGTGTACCAGACACGAGGAAGAAAATTAACTGTGTTCCAGTTAGAAGGACAGGAAGACAGAAACTTCAGTCTAAAATGCAACAGTGTGCCTCCCAAGCTAAGTAGACAATTTTACCTGCACATTAACAACCGATGGAATGAGAAATATTGTGGCTGATTCATATGATTCCAGACCTTAATGCTGACATATTATTTTATTGTCTCTCCTTTGCATTAGTATCATGATGCAAAATGAAATGCACATCAATTATTACAGAAAACTTTAAAACCAGGCCTCTTTAGTAACAGAGAGTTGTGTCTTGGAGGGACTAAATCCACCAAAATATCCTGGGAAAGCCTAAGATCAGCCAAATTGCAGCATAACCTCCCAGCATTCTGAACAGAAGCAAGAGAGCAGGAAAATGGTGCCAGTCTCTAACTGTGTGGAACAGGATAATGAGGTGAGAAACATCTCTTTTGTATGAAACAAAATGAGCATAACTCCAGGCTCAAAGCCACAGTCCATTACATAATACTGTGTTTGTCTGGAATTGTTAATTAAAAAAAAAAAGAGAGAAAAATCATGTTGTTTATGTAGGAAATGGGAATTCCCAGGAGTCATCTCACTATTTGTATGTAGCTAGGTATTTCTGGGGAACACAACTAGTTAAATGAGAAAAATTGCAGAGCAGTGAGGGACACAGAGGAGTACAAATCATGCAAACCAAGGTTCTCTGCTGATAAGTTTGTTTGAAGGTGAGACAAGGAGATGTGAAGAAAGACATACTTAGGATTCAAGAGAGAGGGAAAATACTTACCCACATAAGAATTTAGGCAAGACATAAAGGCTAACAATTCTACTTTTCAAAGAGTATTGTGAGGCATAAATGGTCTGGTGCATTGTGTTATGTTGCAGTAGAAACAATTACTTTCATAGCAGCCTGTGCTTTATGAGTTTCGTTGGAAGTTGTCTTGATGCACAGACCAGAGAACTGACTGCTAATATCTGCATGAAAAATATATTTTTAATATATAGCTTTCTTTTATAAATAACAGAATTCATAAAAGTAACTGTTTTTTCCATAGCTATTTTCCTAAAATCAGTACAAAGAAATGGCACTGTGAGGTCTTTTCCTCCCCCCATAGCCAACCCCCCTCCCCCAGGATATCTGTTAGAAACTACTGGGGGCCTGTGATCGTAGTCAGTCCAACAAAATCCCATGTTTCTTCTAAAAGGACTTCGTTAATCACCTATCTTGAGATGAAGTGAAACTTTTAGATTGTATTTAGGGAGGGGGCTTTTTTTAATCTTAAAAAAGTGCTAATACACTTCCACTTGACGCTGTTTTCATTTAAAAGTGAGTTTCCATGCTGACATTTTTCTCTTTCCTCCAGAAAAAAAAAAAAAAAAAAAAAAAAAAAAAAAAAAAAAAAAAAAAAAAAAAAAAAAAAAAAAAAAAAAAAAAAAAAGCTGTGAATAAACTTTTCCCAGAATAACTTCATTCAGGAAAGCATTATTTCTTGGCTTAGGGAACTACCAATGAGTGCTGTGAAAGAACAATGATTCACAATAATTCTGTGCTGGATACTGATATGACAGCACTCCACTACCCTGCCTGTGATTCAGTCACCAGACAAAATAGATAGGAGGGAGGATCTCAAGAAGTTGTAGAATGACCACAAACTTCTCAGCTGGAAGGTAGTAAAGGAGTTTGCAATGGGTTAATGATGAGGCTAATTAGTAACATACAGACAGTGTCTGCCTCAAGTGCCCGAAAAACTTTCCCCTTTTGACACAATGCCAGTAAAAACAAGGGAAGGCAGTTCCACAGTGACTGGGTAGCAGGACTGCTGAGACTTGGGCTGTCCATGCAATTTAATCCTACTTGGCAGCTGAGCACAGCATCAAGGTAGTCTTCAAGGAAACTAGAAGTGGAAGAATTTTATGCATCCCTTTCTTTACAAAAACACATTTTGATACTGCATTATACCTTTGTCAAATATAAATATTTTTAACCAGAACAAAAAAAAACCAAACCCACAAGAATGCAAACCTTACACCACTAAGTTCAACGTACAAGAATAAATATTTCCAACATCCCTTAATGTAACAATGCAGATGTAGTGGGCATCCCTGCAATTACTGAGGCCACAGGTTTGTTTATGCTACAACAAACACTTCATTTCTGTTTGCTGTCCATGCACAGAAAGGCAAGTAGCAGGAAAAGAGGTGGGAGTGGGAGTGATTTGTCTTGCAGCCTGAGTGAGGGAGAAGCTCATGGTCGTTCTCAGCATGGCATTACTTTTAGACTGTAGGGCTTTTCTGGACTTCTTAATCATTTCAAAAGTTTTAATTGGGGTATTCCCAAGCAGGACCAGCCATTTCTGCAGTTACTTCAGTAGCTGTTTCTGGATGTTGCTGTGTTTCTCAGTACTGTTTTCTGACAAATTTCTATTGCCTCTTTTTTCAGGCACGTTTCTCTCCATGGTCTGAGCCTTCTTCAGGATATGATAATTGAATTGATCTTACTCTACAGACATGGATGGTGAGCAAAGCAGCCAACAAAAGGAATATTTTTTTTAATATTCCTTAATACATTCCTTTAATAATTTAAAAGGTTTATTTGTTACTCTGAAAAGGAAAATGCTCCTCTCTATGAAAGAGACTTTGTTATCCTCACTCAGGAGCTAGGGAACAGAATATATTAATATTACATCCATTTCTCCTTGGCAACAATCATGAAAGTTGTATTTTTCATTAGGTTTGGAATGGCTGTTCCATGGTTTCCCTCTTTGTTGCCAGCACAATCTGTAAAGCTTGGAGAGAGAACACATCTTCATTCGGCTTTGCAAAAAAGGTCTAAATCAGGTTTAGACTGAGAATGTCAGAGGATGGAAGACATTGGAGCAAAGACAAGAGAAGGCAAGTCTGCAACCTACCATAGTACTGAAGGAAAGCTGTAACTTAGAGGCTTGACTCCAACAGGAAATTTTCTTCAGAAAGGACAGAGCAAAAATCTCCTAAGTTGCTTCTGGTTTTCTTGGAAATTGCTCACATAGTAATCATGTCCACCATGTCATAACCTATCTCACTTCTCAAAGTGATATAATTAAAAATTGTTATGCAGTAATTCATAGAAATGCCCATTGAAGTTGCAACCTAATTTCTGTGCTCACCTCTAGTTTCTTTCTTTTTAGGACTTTGATAAATTTTAACTCTTACACTGAAGAGTTACAGGGTTGGTGTTTGTCTTAAAAACAACCCCAAGCATGAATATGGAGAACGAATATGCCTGGAGGTTTCATTTTCCCAGCAACCTTAGTAGGTTTAAAGTACAGTAGAATAAATGTAGTTTACAACTGGCTAGATGGTTATAAAGGTGTAACAAAATACTACATATGAAACTTCATTCAAACATTACTACGAAATAGCTAATAAAAGCATTAGATTTTATTACAACTTTTTTATTACAACTTTCCAGTTGTAGACCTAAAGTTGATTGTGTTAAAAAAAAAAAAAAAAATCCTTAATGTATTGATGATGGAAAGGGAGGCAGGAGAAAATGCACTCACTGGCATTGTGTCATCCTTCACAGAGCTGTAGATTCTGAACTCCAGAAGTCAAAGGCTGTGTGCAGTGAGTTTTATTCCTTCCATAGACAAATAGGCCTAGCACTCAATTTGAACTGGCATAGAATTTCATTGACTCAACTGAGTAATGAACAGGCATTTTAACACCTTTCAGAGAAAAGAAATTAACAACCAAGATTGGGGCTGATTTTTTAAATTTTCATGAGCGAATGAATGAATTATAGGTATTGGTGGCATTTCGGTGATCTTTTTAAAAGTAAATTTTGATATAACAAGAATGTGAAGAAAAGATGAAGGTAATGGAAATGTATGTGTATCCCTGCAAATATACCTGCTAATATATTTTAGTGAAATGACAAAACCACCCTCTTTTCTGTGAAAGACATAAAAAATTTAAAAATATGACATTTTCTTCAGATCCCCTAATATGAGCAAGGGAATGCTCTAACCACATCTTTTAAACTTTCAGATTCAGCTGGAGAGACATACATTAGGAATAACATGTAATTTAGTCTAAATTTGTAGTTTCCAATCATAAGGTAAACTATTCTAGAAACTTCCAAGAGAATGAAAAATCCTGCTAGTGCTAGTAGCTCTTAGAATCAGTGGAACCAGACACCAGGTGAAACATACATCTGCCCAACCCCTTTATTTACTTTATTCTCATTTTTACATTAATTTAACGGTTTATATTAAGGATTAATTTCAGAAAAAAGCTTTTATTCAGTAACCTCCTAAACAATAACCTTCTACAACACCATTTAAGAGTGTTGTAGAACACAGCACTGGACCGGAGCTAGTTCAGTGCACGTAGAAACACCAGTTGTTACCCTAAGGATAAGGGGTTATTTGTGAGTCTGTAGATTAATATTTTCTTTGACTGCTTCCCCGTCAAGTTCCCAGGGACCAGCTACTTTCTAACTTTTTGTTTATGGCACCTTTTCTTCTAGTGTATGGAGACAACATAGCAAAGTGACCAACAGAGATTCAGTTACCAAAAATCATTTTGATAATGAAAAGCTGATCTGATTTCTGGAAAACTGACTGGGAACCTTAATTCCTAATTTTCTGGTAATGTTGTAACTAACTCTCTGTTCCAGTGAGTGATACCTTTTTAAGCTGATCTCTGGAAACTGTTCTGACACTTCTAACATTATCAGAATGTGCTTAGTTAGCTTTTGTGCAGTCGTTTCTAAGAAAGTATTTTATATAAATACCCCGTTAAAAACAAATGAAAAGATAACTTATTTAGAAAAGCATCATCAAGTTCAAATCCTGATTGATCACTAAAGATTTAAAGAAAAAAAATCCATACAAAACTATGACAGAGTGCACACCAATGTATTCTTAGTGGTTGGAATCTCCTCAGCTTTTTTCCTCGTAGAAGATTATTCTACCATGACTTAATATTTTCAATTTATTTGCATTTTTTTATTCTCTTAAGAGGCACAACATAGATGTTACACCTAGATGTTACACCTGGCTATATGTTACACCAGTTTTTAGATACTAAGCTTTATTGGGAAGGATGTTGTCTTTTTGTTTGCACCTTCATAGCTACATCATTCACTGTATATAAATAAGAGAAACAGCATAAAATGACTAATTTAAGAGGTGATAAAGTAACAGTAAAAATACCAGATGAATAAACTTGCATAAACCTTTAAAAGGGGTAGTGGTAGAGTTGTACTTAAAAATGTTCACTGGCTTTGGAAGCAAACAGAATTACTCCCAGAAGACATGACTTTTAAGTTATCATGAAGGATGAAGGTGTTTAAATAGATAAGTCATAATAGAAGCCCCATTAGTATGACCAGGGGGCAAAGTAAGCTTGCTTACTGAGATAGTCACACAATCCTGTGTCGGCATCTGGCTACATGAGTAATGTCTTTTTATATTCTTTAAGAGCAGTTGGGGAAATATTGAAGTCAAAACAACACTGGCTGTATTTGTGTTTGAAATACTCAGCATAAATAGAGACTTGAGATGCATTTAATTTTTTTACAAGCTTAGAAGTGTAGATAACCTTAACTTGACTCATGTGTGCTACAGGCAATCACTGTGGAAGAACTGGCATGCAGTAACTTGTACCTGCAGTGACAAGTGACAAGTGACAGTGACTCATGACCTGCTCTGCCATTAACAAATATCACATTTAACATCTTCAGTGCCATCTGAGAAGTGCCAGGACCTGCTTCTCTATATGAGAACACAGGCAGAAGGCTGAAAATACAGGGACAAAGGTTAGGGGAGTTATAGTCCAGTGTGGAGAGACAGAATATAATGCAGAAGATGGTAGAAGTGTAGGCCAGAAAGAAGGATATGTAGAAGTAGGAACACTATAACAAGGCCTGTGACAAGTAGGTCCGTGCAGCTCTCTAGGCCACAGTACTCACAGATACCTGAAGCCAACAAGCAGAAATTACTATGATTTTCTAATAGTGATCTTTTGTGTTTTACCTCAGTCTCACAACAGAATACAAACAACAAAATGGTAAGGAATTGAACAGAAACAAGAAACAAATCTTATGACAACCGACTCTCTCAATACGGGCTGTATTCTTCATCTGTGCCATAAACTGCTGCCCTCTTCTTCAATCCTCCCAACTTTCCATAGGCTGCATTGGTGGGACTGGAGTTCCAAATTTTTCTTCATAATAAGGAGGTCTATATTTTTCTTTCTTTTAATAAAAACTAAGAGTCTGATATAATCCCTCTGGCTATTGGGTAATCAAGGGCTAACTGAGTTTTGAGCTGATTAATTGGTTTCATGACTTCTGCAGAAAAGCAGCTGGAAAGCCAGCGGAAAGGATGAGTTCTATTTTCAGTTATTAGCAAATACACCCTTAGAAGTGAAGAAGCTAAAGAAACTTTGATCAAAATTCACTGTAAATAGGATACAACCTGTCCTAAGCAACAACTTCACTTTTCCCTTATATTAAGGCTTTGCACAGGGACCTATTCATCCATATTGGAGCACGTTGGCAGGGAAGGCCAGGCGGGATGAGGCTGTGGAGGCATTGCGGTGCCTGCCTGCTTTGGAGCCCTGCTTCACTCTGTTTTTTCCTTCATGGCAAGGTACCATGCAGGCAGCTCTCTGTTCTGCTGGCTGTCATGGGACAATGAAGTGTTTGGAAATGGGTGAATCCCATCTCAGACTGCCAGGTCCCTCAGCAATAGGTCTCACTGCTGACCTGGAGGAAGGTAAGGAGCAGCCTTTCAGTGCAGGCAGAGGGCTACTGGGTAGCATCAATGTCCTAATGTTCAAAAGATAAGTTACTTGTTTGTAGAATTGTCTTGTTAAAGTTTAGGGCTGGACATGCTTCGGTGATCTTGGGGAGAAGGATGCACTACTGATAGTGGACACAAAGAATGCAGAACTTATGGGCCACAAGGCAGAACTCCCAAGATAAGGAAGAAACTGAAAAAGCCCACTTGGCAACTGTGCTGAAATGAGCTCCAAACGGGTAAAACTTAGTTCCATTAGGGGGAGATCATGACTGCTAACTCAAGTGACCCATCAACTCAAAAGAAGAGAAAGACTGAGCATGCAGACTAATTAGCATAAAAAGTGAGGGGAATTATAGAATAGCAATTAACAAGAGAACTATGTAACTTGTAGCCCAAGAACATTAATGCCTTTGTTTGATAAAATATATAATTAGAGAAAAGTTTTGACAGTCACTGTGCTGGCTTTGTGGATTTGCCACCCAGCCCCCATTTCTGTGCAAAACTGTAAATAAGTCAAAACCTCAACCCTGTGTGTGGAAGCTTCTTGCAGAACCTGTTTTGGAACATCACCATATGCTAATGTCTTTGGGGCTATAACAAGGTCACCTGGCCACACTGCCTTCTGGAAATGCAACTGATACATAAACCTCAAGAAGATGTGCTGGGGAGCTCTGAACAGTGCTAACGAGGCTGAACACTTGCAAGGATTTTCCTCCTGTATTAAACACCCTTGTGGGTAAAGAGTTTTGGCCTCAATTTGTGAAAGATCAGTCAGACATAGTCATTAGGTCCAAGCATGAGGGAAGGTCTGCTAGAACTTGCTGTGCCACAAATTAACTGTGAAAAATACAAATGTGAAAAAAACCAAACCAATTTACTATGTAATTCTAGTATAAGTGAACAACAACAAGTGGAAAAACCAAAGCAGAAAATTATCTAAAATACTAGAAAGGTTTCCGGGCCTTAAATTTGCTCTGTTACCTGGTTTTCTTGTTGGGTTGCAAAATAACATGAAAAGCTTTGCTGAAATTTCCTAAAATACCATGTTGTTTAAGGGACACCTACCTGAGTCTCCAGCCTGCTCAGTGCTTCAGCAGAGTTTTGTGCTGGCCGTGCCATCCCCAGCGTCCTGCCTGCTGGATCATCACTCAGAGAAGCATAGAATCTTTATCAGGAAATTACATTGTGGAACCTAGACATGGGAAAAAAAAAAAGTACATACAGTGTTGCAATAGATTTCTGAGTGGCTTTCAGCCCATCTTTAAAGTTCATTCAAAGCAGGAAGCTGCCAAGATTTCGCAAGTTACTTCTGCAAGTTGCCTTTACATCTTCTGAACCGATGGAAAACATGAGACACAAACTTTTTAAAAGGGTTATTTTTACTTAGATAATAGAATCTGATTTTTGAATGCTGCAGTATAAGAGGGGTTCTCCCTGGAAAATGAATATTGCCAGCAAAAGATAATTTTTTGTGACTTCTTATAACAATCACGGTGGCTGTCTAGCCCTCTTTATTACTGTTCTACAGATGACACAATAAAACCTGTGGAATGGTTCCAAAAAATTGGAATGTTTCCCTTCGCTTTTATAAATTTTTTTTCCCGATTTGATTCGTTTTCAAATCTTGCAAGTGTTGAGGTTGGAGAAACAAGAAAATTTTTGTTCAAGTAACTGGTTTGTACTCATAGCAAGACCTTGAAGACATACAGCAGAAAATGAAAACATGTTGGCAGAACAGTTTATTTGGACATTATATTAGTAATTTTTATAAAATCAGTCCCAGCATAATCTGCAAGAAAATAAATTGGTGAAGGAGGCTGCCAACAGAAGCTGTAGAAGCTCCAACCTCAGAGGTGTTGAGAAATCAACCAAGCCTGGAGCAATCTGCTGTAATGTTGAAGTTAGCCCTGCTTTAGGTGGGAGGCTGGAAGAAGGGTCCTGTAGATGCCTCTTCCAGTGTAAACTATACAATAGAAATAGGCCTTGAATTAAAAAAAAATATTTGATGGAGGAAGAGGCAGAAATATGCAAACACACACACATGTGAGATTGCATAAACATTTTCTTCAAAAATTAAATTAAACACTGAGAATTTCAAAGATATGGGCTGAGAACACAGTCCTGTTTCTATATGTGTAAAGGCACTATTGCCTACAGTTTTGTTAGGGCCTTCTGCAGCTGGGTATCAAACAATAAGGCCCAGTTTCAGTTACCTTTATTTTGGTCAAGATGAACTTTTTAGAGCTGGAATTTCCTACACCGAATTACTTACTCAGGCTTGTGGTTTTCTTTTAAGTCCCTTTAAGAGTAGTTCAGTCATTTCCAAAAGCAAATTAGCAGAAAATATGCATTTCTTTGGTATAAAGAAAATGTTTACAAGTATTTAATTAAAGCTGTGCTTCTTAGTAGTGTGTTCCAAGTTTGGCAGTCTAGAAAACCGGCACAAACTTGGCCAAGTCGTGAGTGGCTTAGTTGATTTACATAATTGCAGAAGAGATTTGTTGGCACTGTGTAGGTGGTCTCCAACAGTCTCTTCACTGACGAGAACATATTCCATCTCAGAGCTTCCAAAGCGAGTGGAACTCTTTGTATGTGTAATGGTAAAGGGTGAGGAACAGAAATCACTGATGCTGCTGGTGCACAGCAGTGGAATTCGAGTAGTGTGACAGGATGGAGAGCACAGCAAAGAATTAAGACATGGTGGAGGTGAAAGGAAGTAGGACAGGCTGAGTGTAGCAGAAGGATTTATGAACACTAAAGCGTATTCTACTCAAGAACCTGAAACTCAATCCTGTGCTCACTGCCTTCCCATGAATGCATAATTTTAAAAAGGTATTAAATCTTTAATCACAGTATGATGTAATGATTTCCTTTTTCTCTTACAGGATTTATGAACCAAATGGATTGTGTTCACTGAATGGACTAAGCTCCTGGAAGAAAAAAACCCCAAACCTGTATAACCCTCCTTGTTTGAAGAAGGAAGATGTGTAGAGAAGGAGAAAGGAGCTCAGAGAAAGAAAACATGGGTTCAATGACAAAGACAGCTGGATGCTGCCCTGAGGAAAAGAGTCCTGTTGAAATAGGAGCCAAGCCTAAAAGAGTTAACTGAGATATCTTGGCCTGATAAGAAACCTCAATACCTGTTTTGCTAGAAGAACATTTTAAGAGCACTGGTTAATATCATGTTCTGTTCTGCTCACTGGACCAAAGGCCTTATTATAGAAAGAATAGGAGTAGTACACACACAGTAATAAATTAGGTAAACTAGACGTTTCAATAAGATCTAGAAGGCCCAGAGCCAGGATTTTGCAAGCTTGAAGAATTCAGGTCACCTAATTGAAGAGGTCAAATTGAGGAAGACATCCATGGCAACCACCAGAGGGATGAAGGCTTGAGGAGAAGACCCCCACAGTAGAAGACTGTGCATGTCTGGAAAGACTCTGCCCTGAGACCGGCCTGCTTATTAATATGTATAATAAATGATGTAACCATGTATCTAAAGGGTATAAAATGGCTTAGTTTTGCACTTGCAAGTGGACCAAGTTTTTGCTTGCTCCCAGCGCTGTCAATAAATACCTTTGCTGCTCAAAGATCAAAAGCCTCTGGGCAGTTTATTATACCAAATTTTTCGGATTCACTGTCCCTACCTTCATCTCACCACCTACCTGTGATTTGGGCAAGCTCCTTAATGCAGATTTTTCACAAGCAACAATCATTTTCTGAGTTCCCTCCTACAAGAAAAGCTATAAGCAACGAGGCAACGTATGGGAACCACAGTCTGATAACTTTGGCCACTACCAGCATTCAGTGTTGGACACTGGAGAACAGGTTTACCTTTGGAATCCCCAGGCTGAGAACAGGACCCAGTGCAATCCCAGGTGAGCTCCCACTGCCACCTTCCTTCCCATCCCCTCTGCTGCCCAGCCTCTACGCTGCACGCGACAGCCCTGAGTACAAGTGATCCTGTAGAATCAGAATTAATCAAACCTCAGGAATATGAAACACCATTTGACCTATTTACCCTGCCAAGAAGCAGCATAAAGAAAAGCTCTACCAACTATACCATTACCAAAATACACTGCAAGTGAACCAAACCATACTCCTTGTTCTTCTGCCACAGGCTACAATAGATGAGCCTGTGAGAGCTACTCTGACTCTTCATTTCCATGTTCTTACAAGCACACTACACACCCTTGTTTTTAACAGGTGTGCCTGTCATGTGTCTGTTATTTTCACAACATTCAACCTGAGGTTAAAATGACATTCAACCTGAGGCTACAGGACTGTATGGCTTATACAAACAGATATAATTTGTTATTTTTGAATAAGTGTGCTCATGTTGATATCTTTTGTTCTTAGATGTAGGCTGGCAGCAGTAACCATCTGCAGGTGCCTAGATTTCCACACCCCTGCAAAACCTCTCCTTAGTTCTGAAGGGCAGGTAAGGTTCCTCCTTTCCCTTACAGGAAGACAGACGATGACACTGTCACTTGCCAGAGATACATGCAGGCACCACTGGTAGAAGTGCCATAATTCTTAATTAGCCAGTGCTGCATCAAAAGAGGCCGCAGAGCTCAGGTCTAACTTTCTATCATGTTGCTTTACCAACCAACAGGAACCAATGTCAATAATATGTTAACAACATATTCGCAGTTAAAATTTTATTTAAGATATGTGGAGTAAAACCTTGTCACTGCTGTTATTCCTTTACAAAAAATGGGTCTTCTACTGCATGAGTGGTTTATAAGATCCTTAGCTCAACAACTGCATTGTCAAATTTGTGTCTGCACAAACAGAATCTGTGGCAGACAGTGACACCATCAATGAACACAAGCCCTTTCTCCTACAGACACAATAAGATTTTCCACGCTGCCCTTATTTATGGCTTAAATTCTAGGGAAGGAAATTACCAAGCACTTGATATTCATAGCCTTCTGGCAGAGACTGCAGCCAGGAAAAGGTGCAGTGGGAACTATATCTGGCTAATATTTTAGAATATAGTGATCTGTCTACTCAAAAATAAATTACAGCCAGTAAATATTTTTCTCCTGTATTTTTATTTACAAAAACACACCCTATTACATTTGATAAATTCTAGTCATGGGTGGGCTGGTTTAGCAACTTTGGTGTAAGATTTTTTAACTATCACAGAGTACAACCTTTCTTGTCTACATGTATTTATTTTTATAAAACAGGCTTTTAAAAACAGTTCATTGGTGGGAGAAAAACCAAACCAGCCATTTTTTGATAAAGAATTTTTAATCATTGGCACTAGAGTCAATTGGTAAACTATAAAACTGTTAAGTTGTAATTTATAGCAGCTATAATGACAGCAATGTCTGAATGATCACCCTATGCTGCCACCTCATCTGTTATAGCACAAAGTACTATAAGATGGTTTGTAATGATGCATATATCTTGTTGTCTGCTAATAATAACTTATCATCAAGGACAACAGTTTAATTATATAGTACATCTCCTGCTGGCTTCCCAATATTTCTGCTACTGTTCACTAACTTCTTAGCTAAAAAGGAATCAGTCTCCTTATTTTACACTAATACATTAATTTATGAATGAGAGACAGAAAGCTTTTATTAGTTGCCAAGGTGCCTGAATTCTTTGTGTTCTCATCATGATATAAAAATCCAGCCCAGGCTGCTCATAAATCCTGATGGATGATGGAGAACAGGCCCCAGATCAGTTAAAGGGTGTGGAGAAAATCCCAGACTAGAGTTCTCAGAGAGCTGTGCAGCATATTAATCCAAAGGTGGCACTCAGCCCAGGCCAAGTGGGATCTGTGTTTACACTGATACAGTACGGTGAGCTTGAATAAAATATCTTTCTCTTCTAGTCCTTCCTTCAGGTTCATTCTGAGCGTGGGATCAGAGCACCTTTCTTGGGAACAGCACTGGCCCAGCAAGAGCAGAGGAACCTTCGGTGTGCAGGAACCCTTGAGGTGGGCACAAGCAGCTAAGGTTCAGTGTTTGGCACAGAAGCAGTGAGAAGGTAAGTTGATCTGGGGTTAATGATACAAAGTCAGAACTCCTTTCGTCTTTGAAAGAATAATCTGTCTGTGTAGGTACCAGGGACCTCCAACATTTTCCTACCCCATTAAACTTCTGCTCAAAAAGGAGTTTTGAGCACACGTTCCCATGAGAACCTATTAACAGTGCTACCTACTAGAGTTTGCACTTTGCAGACACAAACTCTATCAGCATGTTTGTTAATATGATAGCGTTCATTCCTGGAGTGAATTTCTGTTCCATCAAAATGTGTAAAATGGGAATCAGAAACCTGAGTTGAGTGAGAAGAATGTCTTTAAACTGGGAAACTGTTCAGAGATGAGATTTTGCTTCATACACATTTATCTGAGAAATAAGTAGCTGATAATAAGTAATGGATAGTAGGGTTTTGCTCCCTCCATTCCTGAGCAATTAGTTTTGAAATGCTTTTGAAAATTAGGAATATTTTAGCGTGCATACAAGCAAATGGACATGTTGTGATGTTCTTGCTTTGCCTAACACACTCTAATTTGGTGTAGAGAATTGGAAATGTATTATAATAATGAGAATTGGCAGTGAATTACAGTCCTGTGGTAAAAATAACTTTAAAGTTATTAAACTCACTATCTTCCATTACGAGTTTTTAAGTGCACAGAAAGACCTCATAAAAAACCCAGGAATCCATGGGTATTACTGTCCTGGGGTTTAGCTCCTAGTGATGGTGCAGTGATGAAACAGAGAACGTAGCAACAAGACCGTGTCATGTGAAAAACAAGAAGAATAAAATCTGTACTTTTGTGCAGAGTAACAAGTTTGTTCCAACAACTGAGTTTGGGCTGCTGTGCTTTACTGATCCCTGCAAGCAGCAACACTGTGGTGTCCTGCAGAACAGTCGTCTTCTTTACATCACAAACCACGTTACTCTGATAGAACAGCATGTCTCACAGTGGGCTGTTCCAGATTGCCTTTCTCTCTGTTGTGCTGGCTGCAGCAAGCAGAACTACCTGAGCACAGAAGAGGGAAACATTTGTCTGACAGAACCCTGAACCTGACATTTGAAGGTTTCTGTCGAATGTATTACTGTCCATGGCCTGAAAGGCACTGCTCTTAAGAAAAAATCTAGCATTATGTTATCTATACTACACAATTACTCCACATCAGCCTCTACCTCTGGCCCCTAGGATCCCTCTCTATTTTCAGTGAACTTCTAAGAAGCCTTAGAACAGATCTGACTGTGGCGTTCAAACATTCATAATTACAGCAAGGTATCAGATTTGTTTAGGTTGGAAAAGACCTTTAAGATCATTGAGTCCAGCCATTACTCTGAGCACCACAGCTACATGTCTTTCAAATATCTTCAGGGTTGGTGACTATCACTTCCCAGGACAGCCTGCTCCAATGCTTGACCATCCTTTCAGTGAAAAATTTTTCATAATGTGCATTCTAAACCTCCCCTGGCACAACTTGAAGCTGTTTTATCTTGTCTTGTCACTTGTTACTTGGGGAAAAAAATGGACACCCACCTCACTACAACCTCCTTTCAGGTAGTTGTAGACAGCAATAAGGTCTCCCCTGAGCCTCCTTTCTTCATGCTACACAACCACAGATACCTCATCTGCTTCTCATCAGACTTGTGCTCCAGACCCTCCACCAGCTCTGTTGCCCTTCTCTGGACACACTCTAACATATCAATATCTTTCTTGAAGAGAGTGGCTCAAAACTGAACGCAGGATTTGAGGTGCACCCTTACCATTGCCGAGTTACCATTGCTGCCCTGGCCCTACTGGCCACACTATTTCTGATCCAGGCCAGGATGCTGTTCAGCCTTCTTGGCCACCTAGGCTGCTGGCTCGTGTTCATCTGGCTGTTGACCAACACCTCCAGGCAGGCAGGTTGCCAGCCCCTCTTTCCCAAGTCTGTAGCTTTGGCATTGTTGCCTGTCCAGATCTCTCTGCAGGGCCTTCCTACTCTCCAGGAGGCCAGCACTCCTACCCAACTTGTTGTCATCCACAAACTGGCTGAGAGTGCACTCGATCCCCTCATTCAGGTCATTAATAAAGTTACTAAACAGGGCTGGCACCAACACTGAGCTCTGAGGAACACCACTTGCAACAGGCTACCAGCTGGATTTAACTCCATTCACCACCACTCTTTGGGCTTGGCTGATGTTACACCAGTGGAATTCATGACCAGCTAGTTTCTCCAGAAGAATGTTGTGGAGGGGGATCAGGTAAGACAATCAGAACTTGCCTTATACCCGTGCTGACTGGGCCTGATCATCTGGATGTTCTGTACTTGCCATGGAATGGAACTCAAGATGATCTGCTCCACGACCTTCTCCAGCACCTTGGTCAGGCTGACAGGCCTGTAGTAGTTCCCTGGATCCTCCTCTCAGCCCTTTGTGTAGATGGAGATCACATTTGATAATCAGTCAACTGGGACCGTCTCAGTTAGCCAGAACTGCTGATAAATGACAGAAAGTGGTTTGATGAGCACTTCCACCAGCTCCCTCAGTAACTCTGGGTGGATCCATCAGCCCTATAGATTTGTGCGTGTTTAAGTGGTGTAGCAGGTAGCTGACCATTTCCCCTTGGATTCTGGGGGCTCCATTCTGCTCCCTGGCTTTTTCTTCCAGTTCAGGGGCTTGGGTACCCAGAGAACAACTGGTCTTACTATTAAAGACTGAGGCAAAAAAGGCATTAAATACATTAGAGTATTTCTCCTTCAAATTCTCAGAGTATTTCTCCCTTGTCATCATTTAGGAAGGGTATTCCTCAATTTAGTGTCCTCGCTGAAACACTCCAGGCACTGCTGGCTCGCTCCCTGTCCCACTCCCCAGCCCCCATGCAGTGGGATGGAGAGGAGAATTGGAGGCACAAAAGGTAAAGATCATGGATTGAGATAAGAACAATTTACTAGAAAAGGCAATGAGATAAGAAAAAGAACAACAAGAACATTAATAACAGACTGTACAAGAGAGGAGAACAATTCACAAGCAGAACCCAGCACCACCCAGTGCTTCCAGCCTGGCTGGAAGGGGCCCATCCCCCCATGTTTCCCCCTGCATCCAACAAAGGATGGAGGGGCCTTCTTAGCCTTTCTTTTGCTGTTGATGCATTCATAGAAACACTTTCTAGTGTCGTTTATGGCAGTAGCCAGGTAAAGTTTTGTTTGGACTCTGGCCCTTCTAATTTTCTTCCTGCATAACCTGCTGTTTGTTGCTTATGCTGTGTGCATTGGTGCAGAGGCAGTTCAGTTGAGCTGTCGATCCCATCACCTTTTTGGGGGGAGAAGCCCTAATTCCTACATGACCATTCTCAGGCACTTCCATTGTTTCCTATGCATCAATAACCCTCGTGTCTTTGCCTCCACGTGGATCTCCATTCCCTACCTCCAATGGCAGACAGAAGGAATTCACTAGTACATAGTAACTAAAAAACTGGCGTGCCTCCCCCAGGTTTTCCTCTAGTAAGCCTGGTTTTACCCCTTTCCTCCCTTCAAGTCTAGTTTAAAGTTATCGCAATGAGCCCTGTTAACTCCTGCGTGAAGATCCTTTTCCTCCTTTGAGTCAGGTGTACCCCATCTGTTGCCATCAGGTCCAGTGTTCTGTAGACCAAATGATGATCAAAACCCCTAAATTCTGCTGGTGTCACTAGGCTCAAGAGCCAGGGATTGGTCTGCCGGCTCATCCCACTTCTTCCTTTATCATTCCCTGCAATTGGAAGGATAGAGGAGAACACCACTTATGTTCCTGATCCCTTAACAGTCGTCCCAAGGCCCTGAAATATTTTGATTGCCTTTGGACTTCCTGTTGCAACTGAAAAAACAATAACGGATAATAATTGGAAGGCTGTACCAAACACTTCACGTCTTTAATCCAGGCCCCAGGAAGGAAGCAGACTTCCTGAAGAAGCGGCTCTGATCAGATATGGGGATTTCTGTTCCCTTCAGAAGGGATTGTCTATGACATCAAGCTGTCTTTCCTTTTCTTTTTCTTTATGGAAGCAGTTTTGGCACAGGCACACGGGTTGACTCAACCTCAGCGACATCCCCAAGCTAGACGGACCATCATCTTCCTTATCGTTCCGTTCCACTTGCAGAGCCTCACACCTCTTGTGCCCGGTCACCGGGGGAGCTGGGCCGGTCACAGAGACAAGCCTACTCACGTCCTCCGGGATCTCTGGCACCAAGCGGAGTCGTCCCTGTACCCGGAGCAGGGCACAGCATGTTCCCACCGCGGCTCTGCCGGGTGGATCCCACCGCTCCCCGGCCGGGCTGGCGCTCCCGCCCCGCGCTCCCGTCGGCGCGAGTGCCGCACCCTCCGGGGCAGTGTCCCGGTCACTCCCTTTCCCTCAGGGATTTTTATACGTGTGAGGGGCTTGGCCGTCTGGCTCCCAGGTCCCGCCAGCCGCTGTCGCGCCGTCTGCAGCTCCTGGCGCCTCTCTCGGCTCGCCCCGAGGTTCCCCCAGCCCAGGAAAGCCTCCCTTGCACGGCAGCGATGTGCTTCGGGTCCTGCCGGCACCGGGGCTGCTCGCTCTCTCAGTGTTACACTCCAAAGAACTGGCAAGGCAGACCTTTGTTGCTCATGTTTGTGAAATGGCTATAAAGTCATACATGTTCTCAAAGTTTAGAACAGTCCACTAGACACTCACAGAATGATATTTGATACCTCTATTGGTCTATAAATATTTTCTGTTTATCCTATATTGATCTATAATTATCTCCCTCCAAGATAAATTAAACAAATGATAGATTTCCTTTTAACTGGTACATGTCAAATAAATTGGTAACTGTAAGCAGAAATAAACACAATCCAAACTGACAAAGGAAATGCTGCACTATTGACTATTTGGAAAGTACAGCAAACCATGCTGTGATAATTATCAACAGGAGTTTGTTCTGCAGTACCAGACTCTCTTAAAAGTAAGCCACACAAATATACCTGCTGTATGCAGAAGGAATCACAAGGTAAGAGTTGTGCACAGGAAAGAGAACTTCTTATTACTGGCTTTTACAGATATAATCTTGCAGGTTTAGACAGTACAATACTTGACAAGTTTCTGTCCCACACATCTTTCCCCTCTTTTCCAACCTAAATGAACCTATGATTCTATGATTAGAGAGAAAGTGGTATTTTTCACAAGCCTCATAAATGCATTTGTTTACTCTTGTTTACTACCGACTAAAACCTCCCTATTACTCTGCTATCATCTACAGGATCTCAGTGTCATTGCTTTCAGTAGGATTCCACTTGACTGCTGATTTTCAGTTTCCTGCCTGCATTTAATGCTCTTTCAAGTGTATACACTAAGATGTAAATAACTTTCCTCCCAGATTTTTGTCTCGGTCCTTGCTATGTTAACTAGGTTCACAGCAGTAGCTTTGTTTTCTCCTCATTTTTGCTGTGTGAATTCGTTAGCAAACAATGACAAATTTTCATGGGCTAGCACCAGTTCTATGTACTTGCTGATGTCTCTCACACAGCAGAAACAGAGAAACAGGTGCCAGGTACAAACAAGATTAAATACAATGCTTAAACTATGTCTTCTGTATTTATAACAAATCTTATAAGACAATTTACAAAAAAATTAAATAATTGGACGTTAAGCTGTACGAGTTCCCTCACCTTTCTAATACAATGAAGCAAGAAAGAAAAACAAGAGGATGTCAAAAGTTGTGAAGTACTCACAAGTCTCGTTATGCTGTGCAGCAAGTTGACAGAGAAGTTAGGATAAGGTTTGCACTAGTGACAGCAGCAAATGCTCCACCCTCTCCTCCGTTCTGTTTTACTTTCAGTTGTTATATAATAATATAGTACTAGATTTGTACCTAACATAAGGTGGAAATTATTCCTATGACAAAGAGCATATAGTAGGGAATTCCTGCTGCCATTTCTGAGCAATTTGCAAACTTGGAAAAAAAAAAAAACTCCACACAGAAAACACTCTGTGGGGAAATACATATGCCTGTGACTTAGAAGGCAGGCAAGTAACACAAACACTAAAGGCAGCTCGCTGTTTGCTATCCCAAGCAGTGACGTTTGTGCAACTCCCTCTTACCATTCCTTATAGGGAAGAGAGTTTATGGTTTGTGCTCCTGTTGCTGCACAGTCCCTTCCCCGCTTGCAGCTTAAGTGTATTCTCCCGAGCAGGACTCGGAAGAGTTGCTTACCTTGGAATCGAATGCTGTAGCTTTATGCCGTGACCACTCCTCTTATCTGCAGCCCGGACAGTGTTTTGCTGGGGCAGCCACCACAGGAGGGAAAGAGAAGTGGCCTTTCAGGGCACTGCCAGGAAGGCACGGAAGAGGGTTGTGAGGACAGAAAAGAGCTTCTCCCAAAGGTACAGCGTCCGGCTTGCGGTGGAACACCAGGGCAGAGAGGTGTCAGAGGCCCAGGTGTCAGCAGAAGAGGATCCTTATAAATGAGCTAAAAAATATAATCTGAAAATTGTACTGAGCTCAGAAGTTGTGGGTTTTAACTGTTAAGAAAAGTGAGGGTTTAGTGCCTGTGATAATGACAGGGAATGGCAGCTGTAATCCCAAAGTCCTGCTTAGACAGGATCAGCATCGTGAAAAACTTTTCTACTTTGAGATAAACTTTAATGTCTCGAAGAGGAGTCTCAGCAGCTCCCTAGGAAGACTGTCAGGTTTCCAGGAACCGTCACTTACCTCCGTAAGGTTCATGCACTTGAGAGGCGACAGTGAAAATGGTACTTAATCTCTGTGCAATCTTCCTTATGTCCCCATCTGTGTTATTCTGGGCACTGGTTGTTATTCTGTGCATGTCGCACTGTGAGGTGGCAAAAATATTCTGCAGCAAAATGACAGGGTTTTAGAAATGGCCCTGTCTCCTTACTGAAGAAGAGATGAGTTTCTAGGGTTGGACACTTCCTTCTTGTTTCCCAGTGAAATAACATTTTTTCAGGAACACTACAATACCAGTTAGTTCACTGTACTGTCATAGTCTATTAAAGCCACATTCAGAAAATCTATTTGTGAAGCTAAATAAGACTTCTGTATCTTCAATAGTTGTCATACAAGTGAGAGAAACAAGGACTGCAACTGAACATTTCCAGAGAGTAGTTTTAGACGGCTGCATGACAAATTCATTAAATGGGCCAACTTGCTGCCATTTCTCAGAACCCCAGTGAACTGTATCCTGTGGTCCAACTTTCAACTAGCAACCATAGCACAGAGAAGGCATCAGAATTAAACGCAGCCATGCTGATTAGCTCCTCTATGGAATCAGGTTGACAATCACTACCACTGCAAAGAACCTTCCAGCATTTAACATAAGACAAGAAAAGAAAAGCAGAACTCACAATTTCATGCTCTCCAGGGACTCTTTGTTCTCTCACATGACTCTGTATCTGTGCCTCCAGAAAAGCAGCTACTCGCACTCCTTGTACTCCGTGTCAATGCAGGGTGAGAATGTCCCTTTTTAAGCAGTCGTGCAGACATGAGAGGTGTTATGTGCTTCAAGTGGCAGCTGATAGAAAGCTGGGCAGGATATGAAAGTGAAAATAAAAGTATAGACTTGGCTGGAATTCTTGCCGTGACAGACTACAAAAACTGCAAGTGAAAAGGAGGTACCGGGCGAGGCAGGAAAAAACACCTCCCTAGAGAAATATTTAAAGCAAAGGAACATATTCATTTATTGACTGTCTTATTATAAGGGCACTTTTTTCAAACATCTCTGTTTCTTCAGCTCACTCCAGCTTAATATAAAAACTGTTCCTAAACATTACAGTAGTTGTATATAAAAGTAATTCAAGTGTCAGTATGTATTACCTTGCAATAGGGTGGCAATACCACCTGCACTCCCTCAAAATATAATTCTCATTCATTTTCTTAATTAGACAAAAATGTGTTCCCTAATTACACAAGGTACATTTTATAGTCATCTAAATGCTACTAACCACATCAAGGTGTTTATTTATAGCATAAATTACTCTCATATTCTCTTACAAACAAAATGGCCCTTTCTAATTTATGCAAGTTTCATTTATAGTGGACACAGGCTGTTTGGCAAGATATTGGCAATTACTCTCTCTAAAGAGCAACTAAATTGTAATTTAGTGTCTTAAATGCAGTGACAAAGAAAGTGAATGCAAACAGTAAAGTGAAAACAGATGCATGACTGTAATTTTGAAAATAAAACGGCATAACTGAAAATTCAAACATGACCATCCTGATATGAAGCAACACTTGAACACCAGGAGAGGAAATATTGCCACAGCAGCAAGAGTGAAGAAATGGGAGGAAAGAAGGCCTTTCCAGAGCACTATGCGTGATGTGAGCATGTATACAAAAAAATAGCAGTTCTAGCAAACACAGATCCCTTTAGGATGTCCCTAACCAATCCAGCTCAGAGCCAACTTTTTTTGCTAAATTTTTGAGTGCTAAAAGATGGGACTGCACTACACTCTTCTCACTTACTGTCTCAGTATTAGTCCTTTATAAAATAAGGTTGGAAATTGGGACCTTCTCTGATAAGTTGTCAGCTCTGATAAGGCATTATGCTCTAATAAGCGTAATGATTTTAATTTTCTTTAAATGAATTTCAAAATTTTTAAAGAACCTGAATCCAAATATATGGGCAGATGGGGAAGACAGTAATTGCAATTTGAAATGTGTCTCTTCCTATTTTTTTTTTATTATAGTGCTCCTGCTGTCTTCGAATTTTTGCCTGTAAGCCTGAACCACTACACCCTCAATTATCAACCCCACGAATTCCTGCACAGGAAAATGAAAGAGCTGTTGTTTTTTCCCCTCTAGGTGACAGAGTGGATATAAAGAGCTGATAAGGACCTGCAACTTTGGCTCCCTTCTTTCCCAGTGTGGCATCCAGAGGAGCCAGCTCTGGGGAAACAGCCTGCTGCCTCTGAGAAGTCACATCCCAGTAATCCCCTCAGCATTTACCATTACTCCTCGATTTTCAGCAAAGGTGAGCCTTGATTCTAGTGGCCAGTGGCTTAGTATCTTACTACTGAGCCAGAGAGGACAGAGGGGAACTTGTATGATAAGGGTCTTATATAAATCTGTCTGATATATGGTAAGAAGGTGCATTTCTGGAAATTATCATCTTCAGCAAATCATATGCTTATTTGAATTTGGGAACTGTCCTGCACCAGGGCTGTAACTACACAAAACCCAATATTCAAGAGTGAATTACTTCAATGGAGGAGTTGTTGCTGTAATAGAACATGTAATACACTAAACATGTTACTAAGGGGGAATGTGTGCCTCCTGAAAATCCAGGCAACTTTTGCTTCATGGCTGGTATAGCATTATAATCTGTCTTTTTTTTTTTTTGTACTAAATTATACTGTTTCCTAAATTATAGACTCTTCAGATTGCTTATTAAAAACTGGCTTTGCAAAACTACTATTTAATTTCTAGACACATCTGGAGAGACATTAATGTTCTGCCTTTCAGAAGCATGCACAATATTTCTGGCCTGTTATAATTTATCAACTATTGCCATTAAGAATGAGCTAATCCTATTTAAAGAGATAGTGTTTCCAAGCAAAAGCATATCAACTGCTAAGTTAGCAAAAACAAAACAAAGGGAAAGGCATTTAAGGCATAAAATGAGTAGAAATATGTTTCTGAATCTGTGAAAGAAGTTAACACAGAGAAATGTGCAGCTCTTAGTTGGGGTCATGTGAAGAAGATATAATCTTAAGTGTTTTGTCTAATACCTTGTGAACAAACACTACCCTATTTAGGCAAAATGTTTGCAGTATTGCAGCCTAAAAGTTTTCGTAAGAGTATTGCTCTTTAAATTGCATGATAGGAAAATCCTATACATAAAATAATTTTATGAATGAAAAAGCCGCCTAACATCCCAGAAGGAATGTCTTCACTACAGTGGTTCTTTCAAAATATACTTGTGTTATTTCTCTCTGTCTAACCCTGAGTGGAGTGGCCAGACCACAAAGCTCTTTCTCAACAGAAATTCCAGAACAGTGAGTTGAAGAAACAAAATTTTACATCATAATAATGATACTGAATCCTTGGGGGAGGGGGGTGGATTTCTTTCCTCAAAGCTAACTATTTGTTAAAACATTTTATCAAGATCTCTGTCTCAGTCCGTGTAGACAACCCTCTCTGAGGTTAACAGACTGCTTTGTGGCTCACTTTGCCATTTGTAGTTGAAGCTTTCATGAGAATTAGATCCTAACAGATATAACAATGAAAATAAGTTTTACTAGAAAGAAATAACATGCAAATGAGAGAGATGAAAGAGGAAAGAACACAATTGAGTAATGATGAGTGCATTCCATCAAGATTATTTCCCTGTTTTTTCTCTTTAATACTAAAATACAATAACCATGACATATTTATCAAATTTCTCATCTGATACAACTGTTTTGTAGTTTCATTATGCTGTAATACAGCTGGTCTCTTTAATGCTCAGAGCTTTTTTGACAAAAGTATTAAACACTTAGTGGAAAGTAATTTCTGTATAAATAGAGAAAACAAAATACTTAGCTACCACGTGGACGGAATGTATTCTACACACTTAAAATTTAAGAGGCTCTGCAGAACATATTTTATTTAGCTAAAAGGAAGGAGATGTCTTTCTCCAAGTAGTTTAAATTAGGAGTCATACCAAACTCAAAGTTTTCTTTAGTTTTTTCACATTGTTTTCAGGCTTCTAGGATATATAAAGAACTTTTTCATATATTGTGACACTTGTGGAATATTAAACTCCCACACCACTCTGCAATATAACTCCTTTACATGAAAAAATCTATGTGCTTTCTGTAGGGAATCTTAATACATGGCATACTATGTACAGAAAGGATGGATGCTCTGGGAGTTGGCAAAATTTTGATTAGTTGATGAAAAGATGGTGGTTTGAAATTTACTATCAATAAGTGGCCATTTTTCATTTCAGTCCTGGGTTTTCTGATAGCTTATTGTCCTCAGACCAGCAATTTTTCCCATTTGTTATTTCTTACCTTTCCCCAGAGCACCTGTTACTCAGAAGCAGCAGCTTGCCCTGAATGGTGTGCCATTGCTTTTGCTGGTGCCTCGTGGGACACAGAACTGTTCAACATGCATAAGAATAAAGATTCCCCATTTTTGACCTCCACTGCTGACTCTGAATTCTTCTATCCTGTGCCTCACGACTGCCTAGACTAAGTGACTGAAATTCCTTGTAGGAAATCATGCAGTGGCACGTAACAGCAGAAATGTCCAGCGCATTTCCAGTCCTCTCTGTTTCCCTGATTATTTATCCATGTGTACCTCATGTACCACCAAAACAGCCAAAGTGTTTATAGACAGGCTTTCCAATATCAGGCCAGTGAACTCTACTTGTCTAGTGAGCAGTTTCCATGAATTGTCTATATCAAGATCCAAAATGGGGTTGGCTTGCAGATGCCGTGTTTCCTAATGTCAGCATGTCTAGCTATCCCTTATGTATGACTTGCTGTTCTTGTTTCTCCTCAATGGGGTTTTGAAATCTGCTCAACATTGTTCAAAATAGAGAAACGCCAAACTTCTGGACTGTGTCCTAGTGTGGGGGGTAAAGCAGCAGCAGTCCTTTAAACTGCTGCTGCAATATTGTCCAAACTGGGGAAATACAGTAAGCCAAAAGCTTTTGTTAGAATGGTTGGATCAAAGTTTGAGTGCATGAAGATAAAAGATAAAAGGTGCTCAAAAGATTATTCAACGCTTTGCAGAATTGAAAATGTAGGAGAAAAAAGTGCAGCTTTTTGTAAAAAAACATCGCTGAAGAGTTAAGATTCAGAGCACCCATTGTTGTTAGCTTTGCCTTTTTTTGTGTGCTTCCAGAAGCTACTTGCACAGTACTTTGTTAAATATAACCAAAGATAAGCATCTGGAAATATTTGAAATATAAATAAAAATCACATAGAGTGAACTTTACTCAAAAGATGTTTTTTCACTGGAACAGAGTTGAGACTTGAGTGCTATGAAAGGGAGTTAGACTCTAGGGGACATGGCAAATAAGAATGCAAGTACTGGTGTGGGGCCATTAGTCTTCATGTATGTGTTTAATAAGCAAATCAAGTTTAAACTCAGGAAAATACATTGCCTCAGAAAGATTTCAGTTTGTGAGAGTGCAACCCCACAGAGTAATGCTAGTCTGTAAAACCTATGTAATGAAGATACCGAGTAGTGAACTTGCAAGACATGGACATGTAGTCAGTGTGGGCATGCTCCAGAAGGACAGTGGACTTGATGTCACCTGAGAAAGGCTAATAAAATATCTCCAAGATCTCAGATATGAAAAACTATGACATTTCTTGTCACTTCCCAGGTACCTTTGTTACCAGCAACATCTTGTCACTTGCTTTATTTAACCACGGGATTCCTTCTGAAGTGACTCCTACTGAATTTACCAGAGAGCATCTATCTTGTGCAGCTCCCAGTGTAGTTTCCTGTCTTTAAAATCAGCATTGTGTGGCTTAGGGGAGGGATAGAATTGAGTTCCTGCTGATATAACACTTTCTTGCAAACCCTTCCATGTATTTATACCAGTGGAGACTCTGTGATTTCCAAGATTTATATTACATGCAGGTGGTCCATAAAATTACATGCTTTACCTGTTTCATTGATGGGTATGACTGTATGAAATCAATTCTAACCTACTTTCAAGAAGCTTAGACCTAAGAATCTGATAAACACAGTCTTCTGGATCTCTTCCAGAGGAGCAAGAGATCATTTCATCTTTGGCTAAGTCTTTGCACTGAACTTATGAAAAAGTGAATTGAAATTGGTGATGTTGCAAACTCATAATATTCCTAAACCACAAGGTCTTGGAGGCCTTTCTTATTGTCAGTCACACCAGTTAGCAGTAGCTATATTCAGCAACTTCAAATAAAATCCTGTGTACTCTGGCTAAAGTAGGAAGTTTATCTTAAAATAATGGGGTTTTGCTAATTTGTACATTTCTTAGAAGCAGGGTGAATATGTGAAATTGGTAAACTTCTCAAGGCTACTTATGATCCTAAATGGCCCCTGTGTGATTGTTGAGGGACAGGTAGTGTAACTTGAGGTTTTAACAGTACTAGAAACATTAATGGATTACATCTGCTAATTTAAAAACAATTACTTCCTCAGCTGAGAAAGAGAAAAGCTGATTTTCTTGTCATCATTTACATTATTTGGTTGTTTGGGCATTTATATGGAATGTTCTTCATTTGTGTTTATAATACAGTTTGGGAGTTATCTTTGTTAAAATAAATTTAAAAAATTAGTTGTAAAGATTTTGTAACAGTGTTTAGTCCATCTTTCTGCCCTAAGGTGTGAGCATGTCTGCCTAAACCATACCTAGCGGATATTTTATTGAGGTTCTCTTCAAAATGTCCAGTGTGCTGAAGGACTTTACAGGGATGTGGCACAGTAGAACATGCAAGAAAGGTGTGCAGCAAAGGCAGGATCCTGTGGCAAATGCAGGAAAACTGAGGGGTGACAAAATGAAGAGCAGATAAGCTGGTTTTTAGAGGTGGGCAAAAAGACCTGTTAGGGTAGCAGAGTAACATGGCTCTAACTCGGGACCAGGAGTGATGTTCCTCTGTGCAACAGTGTGTGAGCAGGGAGGGAGTTGTGTTTAAAATATCCATTCTGTCTGACCTGGTGACCCTGAGTTAATTGAAAATGTGGGTATGTTTATGCCTTGGGTATTTTTCTGCTGTTCAGGATTTCATGGTGTTGTTTATGATTTGTTAACTGCCCCCCAGCCTCTAGTTAAGCAGTGGATTTCCTTCCTGCCTTGTGTGTAGGCTACTCTTGATTTCCCTTTTTTTCCCTCCTTTGCAGGCCTCTTCCAGGGCATAGCTGAATGTGACTGGCTGCCTTCTCCTGAGCTGTGCCATGGCTGGTTATCCCCATGCCATTTTCCAGCATCTGATTATGCAGGTTCTGCACTCGGTGTGTTGCAGTTTGGGCCACTTCTCCAGATTTTGATTA